GATGATGATGATGATGAGGAGGACGAGTTGGGGATTGAGATAGAGGTCTCTGTAGATGAGCCTCTTGAGGAAGACAATGAGGCCGAGCAGGGAGCCATGTCTCAGTCTCCCAGCTCTAGCCCTGAGGAACTGGGCCAAAACCAGGCCAAACCAGTGTACCAGAGACTAAGGCCCAGGCGCCTCCAAGAGGTAGAGCATCGAGAGGCTCATTTTGTGTGATCAGCTGAGAGTCATGAGCTGTCAGAGATCTAAAAAAAAAAAAAAAACAGCACTCGAATGTGAACAATGTGTGCCATATTCTATTAGACAAAGAATAAGAAACATCTGCATTGACTCTGCAAAGACAATTTCCAGATGTGCTATGATTGTGGGCACTGTGTGGACAATTAAATGTACCTTTGGTCCTCAAAAGACAAACATGATGCACTTAAAATGCTGTATATTTTTAACATGACCAATATTTCATTTACCAATCACTCGCTCAGTACACTCTGGCACCTCGTCAGAATATTTATAATTCTTTTTGAAACTGTGCAATTACATTATTATTTGAATATTTTGTACAAAGTTCTTTACAGGCTCACTATCTATGTATGTTTATATACCAAAAAACTGTTTGAATTGTTACAATAGTGCATGTAGCCACAACATTGAAAAAAGTTTGGTGCACTTATCTGACATCAATACTCTTACACAAATATTTTCTAAGTCGTGTTTCTACCTACTGTGAGTCAGAATGTTTTAAACTGTTACATTTAGGGTATAATTAATCATTTTGCTAATAACGTGTGTACAAAGCAATATAATGACCTTTTGTTACATGCTGTACTGGGTATCTGTATTGGCATTTGGTAATGTTTTGAAGCACCAGTTGCAAAGGGTATACATCCACTTGTTTTTATACTGTTGAATTTTCATGGTGTCAACTTAAACTGATCTGAAAAGCTTTTAGAAATGCCACTGGATTTCAAAATGGCATTATCCTTATCTTAAGATAACATTTACATTTCCATAGCCAAAGCTGTTTTTTCTTTTTACAACTGAAGTAGTTTTTATCAATAACCCAAACCTTACAGGTTCTTTGTAAGTAATTGGAAGTACATCATTTATTTAAATGGTATCTGTTTTTCATGGTAATGTACAAGGTTGACCGGATGTTGAAAAGTTCAGTGTAAAATAAAAAAACAGGTACATGAAAACAAACACCCTTTTGTAACTTATTAAAATATATCTGACAACTTCCAACTGCCATGATGGTCTGTTTTTTCTTTTTTCAGATCTTTAAAATGTGCAGCAACTTTATTGAACAAAGAATCGTTCCCATGATTACTAGGTAGTTATGCAATGTTGTTGTTTAGCAAGAAAAGCTTTATCTGTGTCATACAGTAAAATATTACCAAACACTATAATGGCCTGTAATTGTATAGAGATGCCAATATTTGTAGTAATAGTAATTTAAAATTAGCATATATTATTTACCAGTGGTAGGATTATAACAGATTATACGGTGTAACGTAGGCCAGGTGGTCAGGTCTCCACAAATGGATGAGAGTGTTAGCAGTCTCCCAGCACTGAGAAAGGAGATTAAATCAATCTGCTTAACTATTCACAAGGTCTGGATTCTAGCTGTGTTAGCAACCCCAAGGATCACTCAGTAGACTATGTGGTGTTATGCTTTATTTACTCTATATCACTCGACCGTGTTCTTCTGAGGTAAGTGATCTGTCATGCTGGACTAAAGCCATGCTTTGAATTTTAGTCAAATTATATATATTTAGTGATGTGGTTACCATAAAATTGCATAATAGATGTTAACTGACCTTGCGTTACATGCATCGGGAATGTGCAATATTCAGTGCTTGCGGGTTGTGACATTAACCATGAGTAGTACTGAGAATGTTTCTAGGCTGTGGAAAGGTCTATAACTGTTATGCTGACCATGTGAAGTCTCTTGAGCTCATTAACCTAATTTTAGAGCTATTGCTAGCCTTTACATAGAGCACTGTCTGATGAATGGATGGACACCTCTATGATATACACAGGAGTTCATCCACACAATTTCGCTTTAAATGATATTTTAAAGTTAGAGATGTTTAACACGAGGTAGCTTTATTTGGCTTGTAAGAGTATTGTGGACTGGTTGAATACAGGCTTGTTGGCTGGTGCCAGCCCCTACGGGGGTGAAAAGGAGGAGCCATGGGGGCAGGAAGACAGGTCAGACTCCTGCTGTGGAAGAACTGGACAATCCGCAGGAGGCAGAGGGTAAAATCCTCCCATTCATCAATTATACACTGCATTTACCCCTGTGAGAGCTGCAGTTAGTTAAAATGCCTTCAGGTGTCATTCTTTGCAGATGATAAAACATTTACTGAAAAGGCTTTTTTCTCTGAAACATGGGACTATGATCATCTACAATATGTCTGTAATTTTATGGACTAATGCAAAAGCACACTAATGAACAACAACAGTAGCTTCTTTGTTACTTTTTAAAGTCAAATCCTTTTTGATGGCTACAACATAAACTGACATTAGCAATGTTGCTGTCTTGCAAACTTTATCCAAGTTATTTTCATCATATTGCATATTGTAAGCACTTTCTGTAGTAGCTACGCAACTGTGAATTTATTTATGTTTCCAGTGTAAAGTAAACATATAGTCATACTCTAACTTGAGTATGAAACATTGAGCACAGATGGCAGATTCATCATTGACATCAGTGACACTTTAACACTTTTGTTAACATCTGGACGATGCACTCACTGCCCCCAAATAATATTTAGAAAAAAATGCAGATTTACAAAGTTTTGTGCTCTTCAACCAGGTGCGTTTCTTCATGGAGATCATGTGGCCTGTTATGCTGTTCATGGGACTAGTTTGGCTAAGAAAAGTGAATCCACTCTACCGTCAACATGAATGTGAGCAAACAGCCTAAAAAAATACCAGAAACATTTCAATTCACAGAGAGAGAAATATGATGCCCTGTGTTGTCCATGGCATCTTTATTCATAAATATTAATAAATGACTGGTGTAAATCACTGAAAGAGTATTTTCTCTGCATCAGGCCACTTCCCCAACAAGGCCATGCCCTCCACAGGGGTCCTGCCATGGATCCAGGGAATCCTCTGTAATGCCAACAACCCTTGTTTTCAATACCCCACTCGTGGTGAATCTCCTGGCCTGGTGTCCAACTACAACAACTCCATGTAAGCATCACCCTGGGTTGGTAGATGGAGGTCATTTTAGGCCAGAGGTCTCAAATCCCTACAAAACATTTGATCTGATGAAGAAAATATCTTTGAATTTCTTTGTCTTTTTCTAACCACCTCTTGAATAGAAAGATGACTAAAAATGTACATTTCTTAAATTCTTTTGGCTTCTAGAAATTTTCCCCATTTCCTCTCCAACTGATGCTTTTTTCCCCTTTGTGGTTTCAATCGGATGCATGGGAACTTCAAAAAGCAGGCCAATCTAGTGCTGAACATTTGCTGGAGCACTTGGCTTGGCAGAGAAATTCTGTTCTATTTGATATATATTTGTTTCTGTGTGTGCCTCTATGTGCATTCAATCGTATGTGAATGAAAACAAGACTAAATGTGTGTGATTGTTTATTGACCTCAATCCTCAGATTGGCTCGGTTCTACACAGATGCCCAGGAGCTTCTTTTTAGTGACTCAGAGAATCTGCCGTTTGGTCGTCTCTGGAGGGAACTGAATGCCATGAGTAACTTCATGGACACCTTGCGCACCCATCCTGAACAGGTCTCAGGTCAGTGCTCTAGCTTTTTATCAACATACTGGAAAAAACAGTTGTCTATAGAGGCAAACCCAAGGTCAATCAGGTTATTCTGGTTAGTTAACGTACAGCATGACAAATTTAGCATTGCAAGCTATTCTTAATGTTTTGAGTTTGGTTCCAGGTACTTACATATTTCTCCTCTGATTTTTTTTTAATGTAAGATATTATGTTATTATGTTATATATTATCTTAAGGAATAGGGTTTTGGTGTGATAATCGTGAGGGACATGGACAACCAAACTTGGAACCATCATCTGGTCAAAAGCCATGTCACAGTCTAAATCATATCTCACACAGATTTTCCCATCAGTCTGTACTGGATTACATCACAAGGGTTTAAGAAAGGCCCATCATTTAATCTGTTTACTTTCACTACTGGCGTCTTGTTTATTTAGTGGGAAAGCAATTCACGTGTTCCCCATCCATGTCCCTCTCCCATGAGAGGACATAGAAACACTGATCCCATCTCAAGGGACACCATAAAAACAATTCCTTGTTCGTGTCAACATATACGTTACATATACATCTATACTGTATATACAGCATGTTTCAGCTGGCAAAATAACCTCTATGATGGGAGAGGAATGAGGCTGAGTGCATTCCAGCCTGTGAATATTACATCTGGTGGCTCTCTATGCTGCACTCTCATAGAGAAATATGTAGATGGACTCACAGAGCTAACAGAGATATGGATCCACATTCCCAAGTTCCCATGAAGCCCTGGAACAAAAATTGAATCACATTGAAAACCAAGTTGTTTAAAATGACACATTGTGGTTGATCACATTGAACAGAAATTGGCAATTGTTTGAGAGGATGTGTGCATTTAATGTACAAGACCCTTGATCAAGTGTATATGTGTATGTGTGTGTGCACATGTCCCATTAATGTGTGCATGCACCTGTGTCCATAGGTGTATATGGCCCATAATTCCACAGCTCAAATGAAAGGATTGCTGTTCAGTGGTAGCACCTTGGATATTGAATATTCATTTCTGGAAATACATTTATTCACTTTCTGGCGCAGAGTTAGATGATACCATTGATACCCGCTCTCAGTATGTTTGAAAGCTTTGAATCTACAGTTGATCTTAATTTACTATAAAGACTGGAAGCGGGGGCGGGGGGAGCTAGCTTGGTGTGCCAAATGGCAGCTGCCAGGCAACTAGTGGAGACTCATTTTCCAGTCTTTGTGCTATAGCTTCAAGAAGAGTAAGTAATTTATAGTCATGTGTTGTCTTCATCATCCAGATATTCATGTCCACCACCTATTCTATTTACTTAAAAAAGTCCATATAATCTGGCTGGTGGTTATTTATTGTGCTTGCTCCAATGTACACAATTATCCTCGCTCTAGCATCATCTATTGCCTGAAATTTCTCTTTTGTGTGACTGTATATTTTATTTTGTGTGAGCTTTACCCAGCTATTTATCAGCCCGAGAACGTTTGTGTGCTTAACCTCACCACAAAAACAAGCAGTTACTATCAACAGAGAGGGTATGATTTTGTCTTCTGTCACCTTGGTCTGTCAGATAGCACACTTTTTTCTCACCATCTCACCACCAAATACAAATTTCCTAAATTCTTTAGGCTTCTAGAAATCAATGTTTCCCCCATTTCCTCTCCAGTTCTTGCTTTTTGTGCCTTTGTGGTGTTCATTGGGTACATGGGAACTTCAGAAGGCAGGGCAATCTAATGCAACATTTGCTTGAGCACTTGGCTTGGCAGAGAAAAACTTAATTCATGCACAGACAAGTCACAGGAAACAATGAGAGAGTGCAGGGGTGGAGTATCTTCATACTATGTTCTTATTAATTCAATGCAACAGATTTGTCACAACTTGCCCAAAATATGTGGCACTAAATATCCAGATTTTTACAACTTGACCTAACTCAAACAGGGGGTTTAATGTGTGTTGGTAGAAAGTAGAAAGTCATTAAAGCCAGCAACACATGAATGTCCAATTACAGGAATGAAAGACAACAGTACTTTTGTAAAGCACAGAAGACAAGAGTTTTGGTACATTCACACTTTGGTGACTGTGCTGGTCTCCTGTCATTCTAACTGGAGCAGTGACACACAGTTGTTGTTATTCACATGAATTGCTTCTGTCTCAATATGTAGGTCGAGGAGTAAAGGTGGAGACTATCCTGAAGGATGATGAGATACTGACATCATACCTGCTGAGAGATGTACCTTTGACAGAGTCTGTGGTGAATCATCTCGTCAATGCTCAGATCAGGCCTGAACAGGTACACAACCACACCTAGAAGATAGGGTTGAATAGATAAGGATACAAAATTACACATTGTGTCAGAAACACAACCAATGCAGACAAGACTTTAAAGACCGTAACCCAACCTTTTATCTTTCGCACCACATTATACAACAAAACAACAACAATTTAAAAGTATTCTACAAATAAAAAATAATTTCCTCTGTAGTGTTTGTGGGAACACCTACTTAATGTTTGTGTTTGAGGAGTTGACTGTTGTATGGTACAATGGTATTAATAATTCTGGATGAATGACAGCTCGAAGAAATTTCCCTTTGGCAATCTACACATAGCAAAACACATACTTTCATGCATGTCGCAGATGTAGCCAGCTTTAAGTCCCCTGACATCTTCCTGTGGTTTCTAGCATTCACTGAATCACTGCTTGCACCTGTGTGGTTCATCATCAGACAGGTATATACTGTAACCCTGGTAATGGAGTCATTGGATGCCGTCCCTGTGGTTAGTCTGGCTGTTTGAGTTTTCCTTGCATGTAATCCTTAAAAGCGATGTGAAGTACAAATGAGTCATGGCATTTTCCTGTAAGGGGGTCAAGATGGTGAATATAGCAGTTGTTCACATCTGTGCTTAATTGATGCAACTTTATCCTGCCTAGTTATCATTCGTTCATCAACCCCCCTATAGTCTTTTCATTCTCAGGGCCTATCCCAGCATGCATTGAGCAAGAAGGTATAAGCTGGACAAGTCAATATATTGAAATTACATATATACATATATACATTCATACCTATAGATACACATTAAAATAACCCGCTGGTAGAATACATGCACATTATGCATCATGATATTATAAAGGAAACAAACACAAAACATATGGTATATTTTGAACTTTGAAGTTGGAGTGCTTTGGAAACTTATATTCAGTTTTTTATTCTTTCATTTTGGAAGTAAATTTAATCAGGAAATAGAAAATAGTAACCGTGAAGTTCAATAAAAGACATCAGTGCAATGATATCAGTATCTATCAGTAGCTTAAGCCCTTGTTTAAAACAAATCGACTAACCTACGTACATCTCCTGTCCACTTGCATTTTTTCCAGTTTGCCTTTGGGGTTCCAGCCTTGCATTTAAAGGACATTGCCTGCAGCCTTAACCTGCTGGAGCGATTCCTCATCTTCCCAAGCCGCCGAGGGCTCTATGCTGTCCACAATGCCATGTGCATCCTTACCCCACAACGTCTGCAGATCATTGAGGACAAATTGTATGCCAACGTCGACTTTTTCAAGCTCTTCCGGCTGGTCAGTGTTGGCTAGGATTTAGAGGGTTTATATGGATGTTAGTAGAATAGGATTTAAAGGCTGCACAATTCTGATCTTGTCAAATGTATATAAACAATAATTTTATAAAGCAATTTCTAAAACAATTTTAGATAATTAATACCTTCAATAGTGAACCCCAGTAGGTCATGAATATGTGCCAAAGCTTATTGCTAAAAGCGGCAGCCTATTATTTACTAATTTAAAATGTTCACTTACTTAAACATACTACGAAGAGTTTTTAACTAGTTATGAAATTAATGTAATACTGATGCCTCAAACAAGCCCATCAGGGAGAAGACTGTATATTTCTGTATGGTTATTCTTAATGCCTGCCACAAGGTCTGATTTTAAGATTCCCCAGAATCTGCACAAGTACCTTGTAGCAGCTTTTGCTCTGAAGAATATCTGTACACTCAAACAGCCATTCTGACATATTTAGATTGGGAGCCCTTCCTCCACATGTACACGCTGCTCATACCAGTGACAGTAAGAGTTTTTATCGATTCACCCACTGTGGTTTGACAGAATAAAGCTTATAGAAACATCATTTGAAATGAGTGAGTTGACATAATTTGGAAGAGTTCTTCTTATTGTTTCTGAATAGGAAAGGCCAGTATAGAGCTGTGATTAGATGAGTCCTATTTGGGATGTAACTATGCTTATTAGCTCATTCGCAGAGATCTTCGATGGCTATTTACAGTAGGCTGAGCCAAATGCTGGCTAAAGACTTGAGGTTAATCTGGCATAAGGCAACATAGTATTTGGCAGGATATGACATCTGCAAAATGGTTGTCAAGCAGTGTCATGTAAGCATTAACTTTTAATGACAGTGTGTTTTGTTTTTTAAATGACAACATAATATTTTCATGATCTACATTTTACAGCCATGTTTATTATACTCTGACGGTACAAATTACTGAAAAACACAGTATTTTAAAAAGGGATATATACCATTTTAGAGTCATCATTTTTTGATATCCCTCATTGCATCATCACACGGCTTCAGGAAGATCTCATATTTTATATATTCAGTGTATCAGCTCCTGGTTGCACCTTACGTCTGACTTCACATCAGCAGTTCGTGCTCAAATCACATCTGGATTGAAACTGAACAAGCTCACACAGGCCTATCATACATGCAGTTGATAAACAGCTGCTAGTATTTTTATAAGGGCTCTGACTCACAGGAGGGACAACTATTTCTCTGGGAAATGCAAGTTGGCTTTGTGTCTAAAGTAAATAAAGTCCAAATTATACTGGTAATACTATTACATCATTATCCAGGCATGTTAAATAACTCTGCATTACAAGAAGGCAAATGTGTAATTAGTGGTAAACAGGTACATTTCATGTGACAGTCTTTATAAAAGGCTGAAATAGTTGAAATATAATTATCACCCTGCATTAACTTGTTGTAGAGTGTTATATATATAAAAAGTATTCATAATACTGTAATATAATTATATACATACACAATTTACTGTAATGAACTAGTAAAAACTATATCTATTTCTAATAATAACTCTTGGTGTTAAAAACTGACATATTGTACAAGTTTAGATTAAATCTTGAAAAATGAATTAGTTCTGCTAATGTTCAGTTGTTTACCCTATATTTACTGTCTGAGTAACTAAATACTTTCTAAATACAGCAAACAAACTCAAGATGAAAACATACAAACATACAGAATTATTTTCAAAAATGAAAGATCACTTAGTTGAAGAAAGCTTGGAAAACCTTTTTACATTTTAAGCAGGGCCATTTTTATCTGCAAGAGACTCAATTAGCGAGTCTTGCAGCTCTGCCAACATGCTTCAAATAGGTACAGTATGGATGATGCAGGCAACTTGTGAAACAGCCCATTAGCTGAGCTTCCTGTGTCTGTAATTAGCTTAGTGAAGAGACACTCCTCTCTTTAGTAATCACAAGGCACTGAGAGTAACCATGGTCCACACTGAGACAGACGACAACAGTGGCTGCCCTCTGCTTTAACCTCATCCAGGCATAATCACATGAGCCTGGGCCAAGTGTATAGTGTTGTCTGTCAGTCTCTGCTTGTGCATCACTTTCTACTGCAGTTTATAAACGACTTGAATCCTTGAATTCCTTCTCCATGGGTGCACAAACTCCTTTGCATCAGTGGAGGTAAAGTAGTGAGCACAGTGACCACACTAAAAGAAGCCTGCATGGTGAGATGATACCGAAGGAGAATCGAGGTTTGGAAAAATATGAATATAGATACAGTACAGTATTAAAAGATTTTTAATGAGCACAAAGAAACTCTCCACATTCAGCAGATGAATGTAGAAACATCCTTCTGGTGTCAAAATATATATGTATCATATTTTTGAGTGGAGGGGGACTTTAAGTATTGTTTATTTTTATCTGTACAGACGCTGGATTGAACAGCAAACTCTTGAGGAAGTTTTGTCCAATAGGTAATATCTAATCTGAGCTCTCTCATAGGCTGGATCTATATATGTAATAGGGAAGGATGTCTCCTCTGGTGGTTCTGTCTCTTGGCCTCTGCTGTTTCCTGGACATTTAGCCTATTGTGTTGTGAGCTGGCTGGAGGATCTCTGGGCAAACCAACAGATCCTCAAGAGAAAGCAGTGGCCAGCAGACATAGTAGAAACATAAAACATGTGAATGAAGACAATTTTAGGGTATTTGTCTCTGGTCCATGAAAACAAGTTTATTTAAAAATCTGTTTATCATGAAAGTGTTTTGACATTAATCTTGAGATATTTGAATGACATCTGATATAAAAGCAACAAGACCATCACTTAGATAATAAGATAGCTGCACTACATTGAGGGGTGGAAGTGGAAATTGGATAGAAATCTTTTTGAATTGCTTTACAGAACAACAATGTATCCGATTACTTTTAACTTGATATCATGCTACCCGGTCACACTGGCTGTTATCAAGAGCTGGTATCAGCTCTTATCTTTCTTGCTCTTCAAAACAAACAAATTTGATGCCAGGGATGGGGGGACATGAGTAACATTCTCTGTGTCGAGAAGAAACTTGCTTTATTGTTGATCTTAAACAGAATTCTGACGGCTTGGTGGTTAAATGTTTGCACCTTATAAAAGTGGTAAATGTGGTATTTGAAAGTATTCATATTTAAAGAATGCATTTGTGTTTTTCTTCAGCTCCCTCGTGTGCTGGATAATTACTCTGATGGCATTAACATTCACCTCTGGGTACGGGTCGTCTCTGACGCCACGGACAAACTGCGAGAGGTAAGACATGGCACATGCAGCCCCAGTCTAGCTCCATTCAAAAGTTCACTGCCTGCTATATTTAGCTGTCAGGAAACAGTTGCTTCCTCTTGCCTGAGTTTCTACGCAAACACAGACAGTAGGGGGATATCATTTAGTGCGTATGAGGAAGGCTAAATCTAGAACAGGCCTCTTTAGCCTCAAAAACAGATACATCATTAGTATGGGACCATCCCAATGGAAACAACACTGAGGCTGCAAGAACAGGTGAAGCTTTCAGACATGGAAAAGGTTAAACAGCCATGGTGATTGAATTATCTGTTTGTGTTTGTCTTTCTCTCACTGACATTAAGTCCATGCACATTCTTATTCTTTTGCTTTGATTACCATCAGTGTAACCTTTTTTCACCTGTGTGAAATGTCTCATTGCTTGCCTAAGTCAGTGTTAGCTTGGTCACTGCTAGATGAGTTGTATGCAATGGATAAGTTTCAGTGTCTATTGCACTTTTGATATATGTTACCCTGCAGTATAAGATTTTGTATTTGCACATATGTAGCATCATTTGTGGTGTACCTGTATTTTAAACATTTATTGTACGTGAGTGTGTGGACATACTGTTTTGTTTGTTGTGGATGTTTCCATGGCATATTTAGTTTAGCTAACAGGCCGACATCCTGTCGGACTCTGTCTCAGCGATAGACAGCCTGTCCTTGAGACACATGACGTGATGAGTCATTCCTGGCCTTTTATATCAAAGGTGGGAGATACGGAAAAGATTCCAAAGATCCTTTGGAAAACTGAAAAAAACTGAAAAGTGTGTGACCGAACAAGGCCCCAAAAAATCTAATTGTTACTATTAGAACAACCCCCCCCCCCACTTTAAGGAGGATTTTAATGCGGAAAGTTTAATTATACAGATTATTCATATTAATACATGTCTGGAGGGGATCTTTCAAGGTCCAGTGTGTAACATTTAGGAGGCTTTATTGTCAGAAATGGAACCTGAATATAGGAATCGTGTTTTTGTTACCTTCTGCCTTTCCATCCTTTGCCATGTTTCTACAGGAACTGAGAAAGGACAAAAAAAAATACTGGCTCTAGATAGGGGCGATAATGCCTGTTTTTTTGTGCATTTCGGGGCCACCGTAGTGTGTAGTTCGTGCTTAGAAGGGGAGGGTGAACAAGGGAGTTGTGAACTGCAACTACACTACTACTTAAATCCTACACACTGGACCTTTAAGTTAGCATAGTGTCCTGTGAAGGCCAAAATGTAAACTTTAGCTAAAAAAAAGCTTTATTTTCAGCTTTGTGACAATGTATTTCTCAGTGGGGTGAATTTATGATTTAGCTTCAGGATTTTCTCAAGGAACACTTCATCCTTCAGTGTATCTGAAAAATACAAAATCCAGTTATTTCACGGGACAGTGACAATAGGTAGGTTGCCTGTCTCTGACAGTCTTCCAAAAGGCTTTAGGTATGTTTTGACTGTATTTCTCAAGGTTGAATAAACAGAGTGACATTTTAACTGGGAGAGATTTATGCCCATCCAAGTCTTGGTGCTCAGTCGCAGTGTCCAAGACAAAATGAAAAAGACTTTTACTTGCAAAAAACAGACCCCCCAAAGAACTCCTTATCCAATCGTTGATTAATATTACTACATCTTTAATATAGAAGAACTGTTGTGCTATATATTAGTGTTTCATCTGAAACCTCAGTCTTCTCTGTTTTTATTTAAGCTCTGTTTTCCTGTCTTATCTCTCCACAGCTGCACCAGAGGAATAGTTCCAGGGAGCTGCTCCAGGTCATGACTCCTCTCTTCCAGAACAATCCGTCCTTCAGGCAGGTGATGGCCGCTGCCTCCAGCCTGGTATGTGGCTACACTGAGGGCGCTTTCTCCAGAGTCACCTCCTTTAACTGGTATGAGGACAATAACTACAAAGCCTTCCTGGGCATCAGCAGCGGCAGGGCACGGGGCCACTACACATATGACAACAGCACCAGTGAGTAGACATTATTATAGGTATCATTATTAGTCTTAAGCTTTCAGTTTTACTTTAAAACTAAATGTGTTGTTCTTGAGACTGGAACAATTCCTCTGTCCTCTATTGGAGTAACCCTACTCTAATTTGGGTTAAATATAGTGGCTCTCCTGTTCTAGTACAATAGACTCACAAGGTTTGTATACTTTCACTTTAATGACCTTGGACAAGAACAATATGATTTCAGTCTTGCTTGTTTGTTAGTCTGCAAAATACTGTATCTTAAAACCAAAAAAAGATTAATGTAATTTGGTGGAAACAAAACAACAAAGAAAGTTAAGTTGGTGCACATCTGAACTGAGTAGAATCACCATGAGGCCATTTCTCAAACCTGTTATGGCTCATACATTCTGGCCCCTGAAATGTGTCATGTAGGAGCTTTTATTTCCTTTTTTGGATGAAGAAGATTCAAAGAAGTAACTCATGTTAAATTAAAAATAATGTTATTTTCTACATGTGCCCTGAAAAAGCCATCTCATGGTTTTAATCTGTTTTGGTGAAATAGTCAGTAACAATCTATAACAAAATCCTATTCTACATAAAAAAATAAAATAAAATAACATAATTGGATAATAATAATGATCCATACTAATGATCCAATTAAATTAATTACGAATTACATAGAAACAATTTATCCATTTGCCATATTCTCTTTCAATATTAAAGACTTTATCAAGTATATAACACGTAATCTTTCCCTGCAGCTCCTTTCTGCAATGATCTGATGAAAGAACTGGAGTCCAACCCTGCCACCAGGATTGTGTGGAACTCTGTCAAACCCATGCTAATGGGTCAGATCCTCTACGCGCCTGACTCGCCGGCTGTCAGGCAGATCATACGAAATGTAAGCAGCATCGGTAAATGCATTTATCCAAAGCATGGTCGATGGTTTAATACACATCGTGCTACATAAAATTTCTATTAGACAAGATGTGAGGCATTTTATGTTTTGGGGGTTGTTTTGAATAAGTAGCATGCAAACTGGGTAGTTTGCAGGATCATTGAACAAACAAGGACAAAGTTAGCATCTCTGGAAATACTAATATGGAGAGATAATGAGAAATGTATAAAAATAAATAAGATGCTTAGATGCTTTCTGTTACTCCATGACATCAATATCTTTGGCACAAGCAGGCCCACTCCAGTGAACAATGCGTTTCCCCCAAAAGGGGATCGACTTTCCTCATGTCATGTCCAGCCCTTTGTATCTAGATGTAGATACGTGTTGGTCAAAGCCCCTCAGGGGGGCAGCAGTCATGGATGGCTTGCTTGCAATGGAAGAACACAAGCCGATCGGCTGTGGTGACTACCACACAGTCTACTGGCGCCATGGCTTTTTCAGTGTTATGTAAGCAGTAAGAGTCTGCCCTTAAAGACTTGTGATCACACACACACAAAGAGACACACACTTGTGTTTCCTCTTTCCTGACCTTTAATCCCCTCGTTGTTTCCCTCTTCCCTCAGATCGGAATCTTAATTGCACTTAGAAAGTAGTGACTAAGGGGTTAACCCATGACTTTACAAGACCAAAAACATCTTTCTTTTCTTCTTCCTAATTCCGTCATGCATCAGTTCAATTCATAAGGAACTCCAAGAGAAGCACCAAGCACCATCAGTTTAAACATTTATTGTCACACTTGATGTGACTGTACTTGTGTAATGATGAAGTCAGATCTTATCTGCATTCTGCCCTCACTGTTCTTTTACTTGGTTGCTTTCGACAAACACTGGAGGGAAGTCACCTTAAAGTCCACACAGGACATATCATTCAGATTTGCATATCAGCATCAAGCCTAAAATTTCTTCATAGTTCAGTGGAATACATTAAACATTTTCAGAACTAAAACCAGAGTAAATTCTGCAATACAAAGGCAACTTCAGCATAGTGTATAGCTTTAAACCCTTTTTATACTGCTTAACAAATATAGCTGTATAGGTGCTAGTCCTCTTACATAAGTGGAGCAACAGGAAGTTAAAACTAGTCAATGGCATTCATGATCAGGTTTAATCACAGATTATCCATTTATAATACTGCATTGGCCTTGTTTTCATTTAATATGCTTGGCTTCACTGTGTTGATGACTGCAACAAACTTCTTAACTATGGAATCTACATTAAGTAGCCTATAGGCATTTAGCTCAACAGACACCAGAAAAGCAGAAGTCAAGCATTGCAGATAGGCACCATGTTTGTGATGGTGTTGGACTGAGTAGTGTGTGTCATGGCACCACAGGTGTGTTATTGAGTTTAATAGATAATGCTTGGGGAACTAAGCTTGCTCAAAGTGCTCACTTTGTTGCAACATATGTAGGTAGGTGCTAAGTAAGGCACAAAATACCCCACATCTTGGTCAGCTACAAGATTCCTTCACTGCCCCCTTGAAGAAATCACCTTAAGGAAACCCCCAGTCCTCCTCCTGCTATTTTAAACTGCCCCGGGGAATGAGGAAGCACTCACTTGTGGGAACCTGACTGGGATTCACTGGGCAGGCTGAATGCATTCGGCCAGTTGTCACCAACGGCCTCCATTGTCACCCCGGCTTCATTGTCCCCATTGTCACCCAAAATCAGACACACACAAGAGGAAGGCGTTTAATTGGGTGTACTCTTGAGCGCTTTCATCCCCCACTGCACATGACTGAATACTGAAATAGCCAGTCTTTGGTATTTGCCACACAAAGCACTGTACCCACACACATTCAGGGTTTCAACGATAAGCGTGCAGTAAATATTTGACGATTTGGCACAGAGTGTGTTTGTTGCACAGTTGCTGGTTATCTGAACAGGCCCGCGGGAATTCTTTGTGTGAGAATGTGTGTGTTGTCTTTGCAAAGCCTGTTTTCACAGGGAGTTTAATGTGGGAATGGTATGTAGCAGGAGATTAGGAGAACTGTGACAATGTGTGTGTTTGAGTTTCTGAATGTTGTGTACACATGTGCACGTGTTTACATTTGTACATTTGAAGTTTTCCCCATGTTAATTTCTTCTATACATGTCTGCAAAATTTGTTTGTATTTGCATGTGTACCTATATTTCTGAGTGTTTTGCACACATAGGCATTTGTGAGAATATTTGTGTGTGTTTATTTTTGATAATTATTTCCTGTCCTTCCAATCTTGACCTACCAACCACTCACACACATACACATGCACACACACATTTCCATCTCTCTTGTAGGCAAACACTACATTTGAGGAGCTGGAGAGGCTAAGGACGATGGGGAAGGCCTGGGAGGAAGTGGCACCTCAGATCTGGGCTTTTTTCCAAGACGGAGTTCAAGTCAGGATGATCCGGGTAGGACAATAATTTAGCGTGACTGAATCGTTAGGTCTAGACAGTACACCAGAGGACACGTATAAAGTAAGTGCAGCAAATTGTGTTCATGGTAGAGAATCCTTTAACATGCAGCCAAATATTGGAAAAATCAATAAGCAAAACACAAGACTGCATGCAAGATGACTGCATTTAAACTAAACTAACAGCTGACTTAACTTCAATTGTGGTTTAAAGTTACATCCACATACCAGCCCTGCTGTGCCTAATACAGCAGATATGATCAGGATCTACCTTCGTGTTGCCATTCAGCTGACATCCAATGCCAAACAATTGTCCCTTTGATTGAGATGATTAATGATGTTGTTGTTATTTTATCCTGATCTTTTTGTCACTGATAATTTTTTGCTGAGGTCTCAGGAGTTTCCTGCTTGAATATAGACCCTAATCTTTCCAAAATATGCCAACTCTTTCCCTTTTTAATCTATCTCCCTCTCTTCTCCTCTCTTCCCTTCTTATTTTCTCTTTTTTGCTTTGTTTGCTTACCTCTTCTCTTACCTCTTCTTCCCCATCATGTCACACTTGCCATCAATTTGTGTTATATTTATTATCATCAGTTACACTTCTCAACTTCTTTTCTTCTGCTAGCCCTTTTCTGTCAAAAAGAAATCTAATAACATTGTTAATGCCTCAATTTTTAAATTGCTGTTTACTGCATATCCTTTTATTTCCTTTTTCCTCTGGGCTTGCTTGTAAAATGTTTACTGTGTTCCTACTGGTGTCTTAGCAACAAGTTCCATAGAAAAAAAGGTATTGCTCTTAATTGAATAGACATCAGGTTAAATAGAGCTTATTCCCTTATTTCCTTTTGTTCCAGGACACCATCCGCAATCCAGCGGTGATGGATTTCATTGACAGGACTCTAGAGGAGGCGCCGTTCTCCTCCAAACACATCCTCAATTTCCTGCACAACGGCCCACCGGAGGAACGTCCAGCCGACATGCCTGATTTTGACTGGCGAGACATCTTCAACCTCACTGACCGGGTCATTCGGATGCTCAACCAATATGGGGACGTGAGTGGGAATTACTAAAACATGATTGTCCGTTTAGCATTTCTATTATCTTGTAGTAGGTGAAAATACCTGCCTCTCAAAAATGTGAGAAAATGTGTATCAGCGTGCAGAATTGTACTGACTAGTCAAAGGGGGCTCTACATTTCCAGATGAAAATAAGGAGTGAGGAATGTTTTTGCTTTTTTACCCTTTCTCCCATTGGACATTGACAGTAAGAAAGTGGGCTGTTTTTCCACATTTCACATCACCTGAGAGGTCAAGTCTTAGGACAGGCCTATTCATAAAATAATCCAATTAAGCACAGGTCTTGGCACTTGTTGATTTCAATTCCCTGGTTGCCTAACAACTATGTGCTCAGTACCACTCTTGATGTGATGTGACCATTTAGATAAGCTGTCTTTGGGCTCTGCAATTTGTCCCCCCATCCAGAAACATGGCAGTCTACCCAGGTGGGCGAGAGCCAGAGCAACAAACTAGCTGTCGAGTCTCTTTTGTTTACTGCTGATGGAGTGGAGGGTAAAAACAAAAACAAAATAGCATCACAAACATTCTCTTGTGAGGGCCCTCCACATTTAGTGAACCAATGCATTTGAAACAAAGTTAAAATCACGCCTTTCCCTGTGGAGGCTAATCGGGATGAGAGGCCTATCACGCTGGGGGGTGACACGGGGGGCACCTGGGGGTATGGCTGGGTGGATGGTTGGTGCTCTTTGTTTTTGTCCAAGTTGAAGCTTACAGCACTTGAGTGTGACAGGGAGAGTGGGAACGATTGAGGCCGATTAGATACAGCTGTCACTCCATCCACCATCCTTTATAAAGCGACAACAATGACCATGAGCTTGATGGCTGGTTGGCTGCACGTTGGTGGCATGCATGCATATCACACCACACAGTGGAGCTGCAGTGTTAGTAGGTGAATGTAAATTAAGGGACAGTCTTTGAGATTTGAATAATTAGTTGGGCATGTTTAGTGTACATTGTGTCTGTAAATGCATTTATGCGTGTATTCTGAATGAATGCACGTCTGTGTTTGCACTGCAAATTGTGTGTATGTGTGTTTTGGGTTTGAGGGGTATCAGTGCATGGGATCTCAGGGGTAAATTGTTGTTTTGGAGTGTTTCCTTTTGGATCAAGGCCCTCCCTATTTGCATTAGCCTACAGTGAATATCAGACACACTTTGCAGGGAAGAGACAACCACTCCTGAGGTGTCATTGCTAATGTGGGTGTCGAGTGTGGATCATAGTGACTCAAGCCAACATGGGCAACTCTGGGATTTTAACCTTTTTGACCATGCTAGCGTCATGGCTGTAGGAATTGCAATGTTGCTCTGATGTTCGCTCCCCCACTTTTCCCCACAAATATCTCAACAACTACAGGATGGATTACCATGAAAGCTTGTGCAGATGTTCATGGTCCACAGAGGATTAATCCATGATGACTTTGGTGATCTCATGACTTTTCTTCTACCTCATCACCAGTTCAAAATTGAAATGTATCCAATACTTTATTACGTGACTACATACCTGCAAAACAAATGACATTCAGCCCCAGCTGTTTTTAGTCCCAATTAGCAATTGTTAGCATTAGCTAATACACTAAATAAAATGGTGAATATGGCAAAAAAATGACACCTGCTTAAGATTAGTATATTAGGATTTCAATTGTCAGTATGTTAGCATGCTGATGTTAGCATTTGGCTCAAAACACTGCTGTACCTAAATGTAGCCTCACAGAGCCTCTGGCAAAGCTTTTCTTGTTTAAAAGAATACAATAAATAAAATACAATTCTTAGTGGCCACTGAGGGAATTTTGAGTTTTTTTTCTGAGTAAAGCTAAGAAACTTGTTTCACTTGTAATCATATTAGTTTACACTTGCTATTTTTAAATGTCAGATTCATTGGCAATAGGTTTGACTTATCCAGGCTAGAACTGGGCTTTTGATTGATTGATTATTTAACTCTATGACTACAATTATGCTACAGTATGTAAAAATCAAGTAAACAATACTCAAGTAATGCTGGCAGTGACCTAACAGTAAACATATTTTTGTGGTTAAATCCAATTCCCCCGAGGTTTTATATGGCCATCTCTCTCTTGTTCACTCTCCCTTACCCAGTGTGTGATCCTGGATAAGTTTGTGGCTGTGCCTGACGAGGACACCATCACTCATCGCGCCTTGGAACTGATGGAGGACAGCAAATTCTGGGCGGGCCTTGTTTTTGTAAATATGTACCCTTGGACCACCAATGTCCCGCCTCATGTTAAGTTCAAGATCCGCATGGATATTGATGCAGTGGAGCGCACCAATAAGGTCAAAGACAGGTTAGAATCAATGTCGAATGGTAATGATGGGTTTAGTATAATTATGATAATCTGAAAGACTAAACATGTGTGTATTGCTCAGGTATTGGGACCCTGGCCCCAGAGCCGATCCTATGGATGACCTTCGCTATGTTTGGGGTGGCTTTGCTTACCTCCAGGACATAATAGAGCATGGGATCATCAAGACTCACACTGGAAAGGAGTGGCCACTGGGTGTTTACCTACAGCAGATGCCCTACCCTTGTTATGTGGATGATCTGTGAGTGGAAAGCATGATAATTTAATATCTTCAAACAAAGTTCAGTCACACTTAACAGCAATAGAAGAATTGTTGACCTTCTTTTAGTTTTGGATTTTGAAGGTACAGTCATAATTTAGCAGTACTAAGTTAACTACTTTGTTTGGTAGTGATCCTGACAGACTGTGTTAATCCCACAATTCCACAATCCCTCTCCTCCATCTTATTGCTCTCTTCTTTGTCCAGCTTCATGCTGACACTGAACCGCTGTTTCCCCATCTTCATGGTACTGGCCTGGGTCTACTCTGTGTCCATGATAGTCAAGAGTATTGTCCTGGAGAAGGAACTCCGCCTGAAGGAGACCCTGAAGGCCACAGGGGTCACCAACGGCGTCATCTGGTCCACCTGGTTTATTGACAGCTTCCTCATGATGGGCACTAGCACTGCTCTCCTCACTGCCATCATTATGGTGAGGAAGGATTTATCTTCATTCCTTTGTCATCTTATTTGTCCTTTACAGGCACTTTTGACAAAGACAATGTTTGACCTGATATCACAGTGGATGGAGTGCATGTTGTCTTTCCTCTATTATTTTTCCAGCACATTTAAGATTACCTTAATTCTAGCTTCCATTTTTACTATTACATTTCAGACTGCAATCCAGCTGTTGCCAGAAACTTCAAATCTACCTGTGAAGCTAATGGGTATTTTTAATGATTAATTCAGTGTGTCTCTGATGTCAAGATATCACAGTTTTACTGTGAATCATTATCAGATCGTTTTCCTCGAAATAATTAATTGATAATGGTGGCTCACTGGTTACTGCACTCACTGCATACTTAGAAATCATTAATGAAAGAACTGTGAATACCATGACATCATGGGAATTATGTCAGACATTGCAGGAATGGGCTGGTCAATGATTAACTGTTGTACCTTGGAACAAGTCAGCTCTTGTAGTCAGCCTGTGGCTCAGCTGACATATTGTAGTAAGATGGTCTGTTGTGACCTCTAGTGGATTATTTGTGTAAAGCAATGTTTTTTTTTTCACTTTTCACGTTTACTTCTAGTTTTTAATAAAACTGTGTCTTGCCTTGCCAAATTATATTAGGAAAACATTTATATAAACGTCTCCTTTTCCTCTATCCACAGTATATATGTTTGGTATTCCTATGCAGATTCAGTGCGTTGCAACTAAAAACACCACCCTATATGTTTCTTTCTGTCTCTGGCCTATAGGGAGGAAGGGTGCTGAACTACAGCAACGCTGTCATCCTCTTCCTCTTTTTGCTCACCTTCACTACGGCTACCATCATGCAATGCTTCCTCCTCAGTGTCTTCTTCAACCAGGCCAACCTGGCAGCGGCCTGCTGCGGCATCATTTACTTCACCCTCTACCTCCCGCACATCTTCTGCTTTGCCTGGCAAGACCGCATCACCAAGGACATGAAGATCCTGGGGGTGGGTGTCACATCTCAGCATCCCTTTAACACGGGTGCATGCTTCAATTGAAAACATGCTAGTTGTTCTTTAGTATTGTATACGTATTATAACTATGCCTAACTAAACTGATCTGAACTGAACTGATGTTACCACTGCCTCTTCCTTAGAGTCTGCTGTCCCAAGTGGCTTTTGGCTTCGGGACGGAGTACCTGTCACGGTACGAAGAGCAGGGCCAGGGTCTGCAGTGGGACAACATCCAGACAAGCCCTCTGGAGGGGGACGAGTTCTCCTTCCTCACCTCCATTTGCATGATGGGCCTAGACACTATACTGTATGCTGTGCTGGCATGGTACCTCGACAATGTCTTTCCTGGTCAGTACATAAGAGAGAAATAAAGGTTTTCAGGCTTTGGCTTAACTTTTACTGTTAAAACACATACTATTTTGATGTTGATTTATTTACATATTTACTGTAGCTCATGTATTATATATGTAAATGTATACTTTTTCCATCACAGGACAGTATGGAATTAGTCGACCATTTTACTTCCCCTTCCTGCCCTGTTATTGGCTCAACAGTGTGGCTCCAGCTTCAGGTAGGTTTCCCTATTTACTTACTGTGCATAAAAATACTCTATTTCTCAAATAAAGAGGACCTAAACTACTAAGCATTTTATCGATCTCAGTCTGTAAGTTGGTTTTAAAATTCTTTTTTTTTTTTTCTTTTCTTCTTTTTTTTTTCTCCAAAGATTTGGATAAAAAAGGCTTTGATAACCTGGCAAACAAAGAGCAAGGAGAGCAGCAGAACAAAGAGGAGGAGGAAAACCAAGACCAGGAGAAACCCAAGACTCTGGAAGAGACAGCCTCGTGTGAACACCGCGATCAGCGTGAGAGGCTGGAGAAGGGGAGCCAGGATGAGGCAGAGGAGAACCAGGAGAAAGATGGTATAAGCACAACTCTTTCATGAGATTATAAAGGTGTACAAAACTAGTTTTCTTATATAGAGAGGTGTAATTTGATAAATTCATAACCAAAACAACTTTTACATTGTAAACTTGGAACCTGGAAGACACAGTTCTATCATGATTTAATTATTATATAATTCAGCTTTTGATTGATGATTTATTAACATCTCTGCATCTGTCTGATATCTGAAGAACAAATTACAGCATAATCCCACATATAAATTAATTATGTTGGTGTAATATTTATCCAAGCAAACACTTCTTCTTCTTCTTCTTCACATCTCCATTCAGGATGGAGGCCATCTCTCTATTTGCTCTCACTTTCCCTCTCTGACAATCAGATAAATTGTGTGGGAACTCAATGCCCTTGTGTGTGTTTGCACTTGCTGTCATTTGTGAACACACACACTGCTAGCTGCTCACTTTCATGCTTAGTTAATAAGTGATGGAAACTGTTTTCTTTACACCTCATGGCATTCCAATCCCCTGACCTCATATTTTTAAATATTCAAACAGTCCAGAAGCAGTATTCGGTGTGGTTGTCTTTCCTGTATGCAGGTCAGCCATTCTTTGAAGCAGAGCCAGCTGATCTGGTGAAGGGTGTTTGTATCCAGGACCTGGTCAAGGTGTTTGGCGGTAGCCCCACACCAGCTGTGGATGGCCTTAGCATCAGCTTTTATGAGAGCCAGATTACTGCCTTTCTGGGCCAGAATGGGGCAGGGAAGACCACCACAATGTATGTCACACATGCTGCACACGACAACCATATGCTAAGTTCTTAACATGTTGAATATAGTCTGAAATTCTTTTTTTTTGCAGTGTCAACCTGTAGCTGCAGGACACCATGTTTCACTCCACTTATTTCTCGCTATTTGTATCTTTCCTCGAGGTCCATCTTGACTGGTATGTTCCCTCCCACGTCAGGGACGGCCACCATCTATGGCAAGGACATCCGCACAGACATGGACACCATCCGTCTGTCTCTGGGGATGTGTCCTCAACACAACATTCTCTTTCAACAGTGTGTAAATCTCCACACACAGTCTTTATCATAATTAAGTAGTGTTGTTTCATTATATATACCAACACAATACCACCATATAACAGACAAACAAAAACATTACATATAATTTTATACAGTAGCTGTAACTGCATTATTGCCTCCCCTTCCTTTTGTTGTTCCCTATCAGTATGACTGTTGCAGAGCATATTCTCTTCTACTCGCTGCTGAAAGGCCGTCCAATAGCGGAGGCTGAGGAGGAGGTGGAGAACATGCTGCAGGATCTGGGTCTTCCCCACAAGAGAGACGAAATGACCCAGAACCTCTCAGGTCCGTCTGGATGCTTCTTCGTCCAAAAAAAGCCGCTGCATATGGATATGTTATATTTTTAGTTTAGTTACTGTTACTGCACACAAAAACACACACACACACACACACACCACACACACACACACACACACAACACACAGACACACACACACTGTTATGTGCACCATCAGTACTTTATGTTATGTTATTATGTTTTAATCCAGGGGGCATGCAGAGGAAGTTATCAGTTGCTTTGGCGTTTGTTGGTGGGGCTAAGGTTGTGATCCTGGATGAGCCCACTTCCGGGGTGGACCCTTACTCCAGACGCTCCATCTGGGACCTGCTGCTCAAATACCGTGCAGGTAACACTGACTCCTACTGGCTACAAGATGATACAGAACCCAAATGTTATGCAAAAAATAACCCTTTCAGGTGTTTCTTAAAATACGCAGCCTTTGCTGTTTTATATTATGCTCTAATTGTAATCACCATGCACTTACAATAATGGTATAACAATGGTAACAGTATGATGCCTTAAAATGTAATATGAATACAGAGGTAGACAGAATTTACCTCTTAAAAATAGGTAGCAATTCATACTAATTTAAATTAAAACATTTTCATTCATTATGTCTTCTTGCATTAAATAACCATTTAATATAATGTTTTATTTTTAATAACTGCCAAACATGTTTAGTCAGCCATGCGACTATGTGTAAGGGACTATAATGTATTAGATTATTGCTAAATATTGTATTACGAATTAACTTTAATTATCAGGTTTCCTTGACAACTACAGTTATATAATACTTGAACTTGAATACTTGAACAGTTATATAATACTTAAACCTTGACTTGACGATAACATGACCATAACAACACAGCAGTGTTAAAACAAAGCAGTAGTGTTAATAACAAAGCAGCTGTGTAAGCTACACTGCTGTTTTGTTGTGTTAATGTTGTGTCATGCTATATTACATGACATGTAGAGATTAAATGATGAACAAATCTGACAGGTTTGATTCAACCTTGGTCCTGCACATAACATTGCATCATTGACCACTATTCACTATCCACAACTAAAACTGATACCTAAAGAAACAGGTAACTTTCTGAACTTAAGCTGTTATGTATACAATAATGGACTCTCTGTCTTAAATTTCAAAGAACAGGTGCTTCCAATTTAACTATCACAATTATATCATATATTCTTGTACATACTGAATTTATGATACCATATTCAGGCCAGCTGCACTGAAATGTTTATATTAGAAAATGAATGGATGAATGTTTTTTCCAGCCTCAGTCTTTAACAGCACAACAGTATTGATAGATTTTGATAGCACTTAGAGAGAAATGATGTCCTAAATCTGCATAATCAAACCTCTATTCTCCTTTCACATGTCTCTATTTACCCCTTCTTTGTCCCCTGCTGCAGGGCGCACTGTGATCATGTCCACCCACCACATGGATGAGGCCGACCTGCTGAGTGACAGGGTGGCTATCATCTCTCAGGGCCGCCTGTACTGCTGTGGTTCCCCCATCTTCCTCAAGAACTGTTTTGGCGCTGGATTCTACCTGACTCTTGTACGACGAATGAAACATGACACTCCAAAGGTGGGAACTTAAGAAAATAGAGCCTTCTGTATGTTTGTAGGCTTTAAATAGTAATGAGTGGTAGCTTTAAAACTTAAATGATGATGGGCGCCCGGTTAGCTCAGTTGGTAGAGCTGGCGACCCATATATGCAGCGGCCCGGGTTCGAGTCTGACCTGCGGCCCTTTGCTGCATGTCATCCACTCTCTCTCTCTGCCCCCCCTTCCTGCTTCTACCCAGCCATCTTTATCAAATAAAGGCATAAAAAGGCCAAAAAAATAATACTTAAAAAATAAATAAATTAAATGATACATTTAAATGTGAATTTAATATATTGCCAGAATTTAATTCTTGTCTGGCTAGAAGCCAGCATTTAAGCTACAGTATGCTAAAATGCTGGCTTAAAACCTTAGTTAATAATAAACTAATTATTTAATAAACAAACTAAGAAAATAAACATACCGATATGTCTATATGGAAATGGAATTATTCAAGTGGTAGGGTAACATCTCATTTTTTACAGTGGTTTCACCTTTATGAGTCCCTCTGTGATTTGTATGTAAATGAGTCACTGTGAGACTAAGAGAGGGCACAAATACATGCAGGAGATATATAACAAAAAGTAAATGTAGTTTTTTTATAACATTTTGTCCTGCAGGCCAACTGTGACTGTACAGATGACTGCTCCTGTACATGTTCGAAGTGTTCAAAGTTTAAAGTGAACCAGGAGGAGAGCCAGACCCCAGACAGACAGATGGATGGTAAGGCCACCAGTTCCATTAATATCTGGTGAATTTCAGAGATCAGTTCATCTCCTCAAACCTGTTATTAGTCTATTCAACTTCTAAAGTAATAATGCAATGCAGCGTAACCTCTTGTCATGCTGATGAATAGCACTGTGACTACACAGGATTGTAGTCAATCTACTTACTTTACCAGGTGCTAACACACCTAGAAACACCCTGTGCCTACTGTACTCGGTGTACTACTGTAGGAACTCTGTAGACATTAAAGTTCAGCTGGATATGCAGTTTTGCCCAACCATATGCTCTAATTTAATGTGTTTTTCTTTATTCCCAGCTGAGATTTTGCACACCCTCTTAATTTACTTTCAGTAAATTTCTACTTTGCATACCACCTGTCAGATGTCAGATTCTGTTTTCCTAGCTGTATCTGTTTAGTATTCTCTTCTCTCTAGTATAAGAGAGGTAAAGGACAGGCAATAAGATATTAAATTAGACAAACAAATAAGTAATGGGAGTTGAAATAAGGCAAAATCATCCTCTACCCCTCATCTCCAGGTAACATGGAGGCCATCACAGCCCTGGTCCATCATCATGTGCCACAGGCTCGTCTCATCGAGGCCATAGGCCAGGAGCTGACATATCTGCTGCCCAACCGTAACTTCCAGCCCAGGGCCTACGCTAGCCTCTTTAGAGAGCTGGAGGAAACCCTGGTGGACATTGGCCTCAGCAGCTTCGGGGTTTCTGACACATCGCTGGAGGAGGTGCGTGAAAATAATAACAAAAAAATGATAGCAGTCTTAGTAATCATTGGACGTCTTGTATTCAACGACCAGTAGTTGTGATTTATTAGGGAAATCAAAAAAGTAATTTACTTTTACAAATTTACATTGTGGACCCAGGACTTAAAGAAATGAGACAATAGATCAAAGTGACAGTGACTGCCCCTGAATAAAAGAGATTCTTAGTTATAAAAGTACAAATTATTTTAAGTGCTAAACAGCAATTTTTAGACAAAGTACCAAGGAATGCAAGAAGAGTTTTATTGAGGCAATCCGTCATATAGTCACTGCATGACTTTCACCTTCACAGTGATTAGGCTCTGTTTCATAAGACTTTATAATCAAGAGCATCTGTTAATCTTGGGTCCTGACAATAAAATAAGCTATTTCCTTGTAGATCTTCCTAAAGGTCACTGCTGATGGGAATGCAACCAACAGGAAATGTATACAAGGTAAAAAAAGAAAAGAAAAACAGGCTGAAGAAGTTTTTGTAGCGCTTTCCTTTAACTTCTTTTTCTCACCCTATTGATTTGTTGTGTGTTTGAATGTGTAGCTGTGTCTCCATCTACCCCTCATCATGTGAACTATATCCTTTGTATCCCATTCTCTGACACTCTCAGACAAGAAATCATTGCAACAGATCTCTCGAACTAGCCTCTGTCGATTCAACAGAGTGGCAGTTGATATGGAACCATCAAAAGGTGACATTAGCTTTCAGCTTACAGCTCTGGACAAATGCTGCTGTTGTGGGAAACACATATCAATGTCTGTAATTTCAGAGGGTGTACAGTCTCTCATGTGTTGTAAGAAACCTATTCAACCTTAAAGAAAAAGAATATGTGAAGGTCAATTGAGAAATTAATGGAATAGTTTGACATTTCGGGAAATGCCCTCACTCAACAGGAAACTTCTTCTATCTTTACGCTAAGTTTAAAGATTAACAGCGAGCCTGGCTCTGTCCAAAGGGAACAGAATCTGACCATAAACACTTCTAAAGCTCACTAATTAAAATGATACATCTCAGCTCAGGGTGAGAACAAAACTCCAGGCAGTTACTGTTCAGCCAAAAAATGATCTGGCACTGAAACCATGTAAAAACCACACGTCGTTTCCACACTTTGGTTTTTGGACAAATTAAACAAATGACATATAACAAAATAAGTGGGCTTTGGAAGTTTTTTGTTATCTTTGGACAGAGCCAGGTTAGCTGTTTTCTTCTGTACCAGTCTTTGTGCTAAGCTACTGTAAGTGTCTGCTGGCAGTAGCTTCATGTTTACTGTTTAGACACAATGTGGTAGCAATCCAACTCTCAGCAAGAAAGCACATGAACGTATTTCCCAAAATGTTAAACTACTCTTTTAAACATTTTTCAATTTGAACTGAAAACATATTTTGGCAAAGGTGTTTTTCCTGACAACAGTGTACTGCAGAGAGCTTCAGCTTGGGCATTTTGATTAGTGATATGTGACCAACTGATGTATTCATCATAATATTTTGATCCAGAGCTTTCCCTGGCACACCGGTAACATGTTACGATGATGAATTAAATCCCTAAGGCTAGTAGAGCTTAGGGAATGTTTAGCCTTCTGTTCACATGCTTGGCTTGCTGGCTGGCATCTATAATCTAGCATGTACATTGTATGTACCAGTCAGACTGTGCAACTTGAATTGAGCTCTGTATCCCAGAGACAGATGGGGCCTTGCACACCAATGGCCAGGGCCTGTGTGATGACCCAGAAGGCAGTGCCGGCAGGGGATCGTACCAGGTCAGAGGCCTGTGTCTGATCATCAAGCAGTTCTTCGCTCTGCTGATCAAGAGGTTGCATCACGCCACACGCTCCTACAAAGACTTCCTCGCCCAGGTAACCTTGCTATAATTGAGCAAACTGTAATACAATGCAGCAACTTTGTCTGGTTTTTAAATTGCAGTCATGTCTTTGTCTTTGGTAGATTGTGCTGCCAGCAAGTTTTGTTTTCCTGGCACTGACATTCACTCTGATTGTTCCACCCTTCGGAGAGTATCCAAGTCTGACTCTCAGTCCCTGGATGTATGGGAGACAGTACACCTTCTTCAGGTGGGCGTGATGGACAGTAGGTCACCTAGCATTATTAAACTCATTAGGAGACTTACTAATGTAATCAGTACAATACTTCTTCTGATTCTGGCATAGCAATGTGTATTTCATTATTTTGTCCATTGCAGTAATGAACGCCCTATGGATGCTCAGATGAGATACTTTGGTGAAGTGTTGCTGGACAAGCCTGGCTTTGGGACACGCTGCATGGTGGATGAACCACTAGAGTGAGTCTCCACAGATTTAGATTTTTTTCTTGACTGTCCTCTGGGCTGTTTTGTTTGACTACATGTTCATCTCCCATTGGTAGAGATTTCCCATGTAACAACATCACCACAGAGTGGGAGATGCCCCTGGTTAACCCAGTCCTGATAGAAATGCTGGCTGGCCCAGAATGGACCTCCCTCAGACCGTCTCCAGACTGTCAGTGCAGCACACCCAGGAAACTCACCATGCTCCCTGTGTGTCCTGAGGGGGCTGGAGGTCTGCCACCTCCACAGGTAGGTGGTTAGGTCACAAATATTAAAAATGATCACACATACACACACGTATACATACAACATGCAAAATCCACCCTCTCAAGTAAACTACTAAATTTCTTCAGCACTCTCTATTGTGTTCTGTGCATACATTTGCAGGTCCACTAATGCTGAGTTTCTAATATGAAATCTACACTGTGTGTTATTTTGTGCATCAGAGGATCCAGTCAACAGGAGATGTTCTCATGGACCTAACAGGCAGGAACATCTCAGACTACCTGGTGAAGACCTACCCCACCCTCATCAGAACCAGGTATAAGATCCTTTGTACGGATTCAAAAGGGAAAAAAGCAGAAACTGAACGTAAACTAAACGTTTGTGTAAAGGTGAAAGTATTTCTGGCCAAAGTATTTTCATTACAACATTGAAATATTTTGTATTTGCACAAAAGGAGAAGAACTGTAATTCCGTTACATCAAAGATGTATACAATATGTGTAGATGTAACATACAGTACTCTTAATGTAAAAGTTCAAAACTGTTCATTTTAGTCAAGGAAGATATTAAAACTGAGTGGTTTTTAAGCATTTTTTAAAATTGTATTTTTAAAATCTCTTTCCAGCTTGAAGAGCAAATATTGGGTGAACGAACAAAGGTAATGAGCTGTTTCATTGTCAGATTACAGTTAGGTCCAAATAGGATTTATATGCATTTTAAAGTGTGTGTTAATTGTAGTGGTGCAGTTCTCCCTCCAGTGGTTGTAATAGCGTGGTGCAGTTTTGGTCTGTAGTATTTGGATTTACAGTAAAGCTCTAGAGATGACAGCAAGGTTTACTCTGTGGTGTCCAGGTATGGAGGTATATCAGTGGGAGGGCAGCTTCCTGTTTTAGTGCTGCAGCCAAGGACTATCCAGGATGTAGCAGCACAGCTGGGGCGACTGCTCAATGTTACTGGGGTATGCCTTCAAAACTCAACATTCTGGGATTGCATATGTCTGTGTGCACTATTATTGTTGTTTCTGTGTGTTCTTCAACCCGCTCTTCAGTGATCTCTTTTGTAACGGGGCCTTTTTGGTTGCAGGGCAAACACTCCAAACAAACGCTGAAGGACATAGGGACGTTCCTCAGGTACATGGAGACTGAAAACAATGTGAAGGTCAGTCCAATAAAGCCTCACCATTTATAATAATATAATTATTATATGTAATATACTGTATATCATCTTGTCACAAACCAAGCAAATGCTGTAGTTTATATATGACAGGTCTATTTTGTTAACATTATAAATCAACAGTGCTCAAAGTATATAATTCTTTCTGTTTCCACAGGTCTGGTACAACAATAAGGGCTGGCATGCCATGGTTTCTTTCATGAACGTGGCCAACAATGCTATCCTTCGTGCAAACTTGCCCAAAGGAGCAAACCTGGATGAATATGGAATCACTGCTATCAATCATCCTCTGAACCTCACCAAAGAACAGCTCTCTGAGATCACTGTGTGAGTGACCAGTGGCTGGACTTTAACTTTTTCTAGGTGTTTGCAAGGAAAAGTACAGAGATAATAAGTGGAAACAGGATGTGATACGTAGCAACAGGTTTTTTTTAGCATCTTTAGTGTCAGCAAGCTTAAACCTCTAAAACACCAGTTATTTTTTAGATCTCATAAAATGTACTCTTGATATTTTAGCTGATTACTTTTCTCTGTGCTCTCCCCAGCCTGACCACCTCAGTGGATGCATTGGTGGCCATCTGTGTCATCTTTGCCATGTCCTTCGTTCCAGCCAGTTTCGTCCTCTATCTAATCCAGGAGAGGGTCACTCAGGCCAAACACCTGCAGTTTGTCAGTGGTGTCAGTCCGTTTGTCTACTGGACGGCCAACTTTCTCTGGGACATGGTACAGTGACCCTCTTACCTAATAAGATGTGTACCAGTGCCTGGCAAATGGCAATAATAGTTAAGGGCATGGAATAATGGTGTTTGTAAGCAGCCAGGGTAAAGGTTTATTTCTCTTTGCTCAGGAAACGGCTTTGTAGACACTGATATCTACTGTGACTGTGTTCTTCCTCCAGCTGAATTACTCCATCAGTGCAGCAATGGTGGTGGAAATTTTCATCTTTTTTGATAAGAAGTGCTACACCTCGCCAACCAACCTGCAACCACTTATCAGCCTGCTAATGCTCTATGGGTAGGTTTTGTCTGACTGTGTTTGTCTTGTCTTTTTTTTCTTTTTTAAAGGATGTAAAATGAGGGCCAAACAAAAAGGCTCAATCACAATAACCCTGCTACAGTATGACTGTTTGAAAATGTTTATTATTACTTTTGAATTGACACTGCCAATAACTCATATTTTGGGCCGGTATTCAGTATTTTCACATCCCTGTAGTAAGCCAATATAATTAAATGCCACCCTTTAAGGCTATTTTTGTGAAATATTGACAAAACCAAGAACAGATTATCTCTATCAAAGGAAATTTAAAGCCTAATATTTGAATTGATTCCACAACAACAGGGTAACACAGGATTTATTACTCTGTTTTTCTTTTTCTGTCTCTTCCCACAATGATCAATTGTGTGGCTGTCTTGATCAGATTTTTAGATGTCTCCCTTAGTAGATATTTGTCATCAACCAGTCTAAATGTGAGCTACCACTGAGTACCTGTGACCGTCAAAATATCAGCAATGGAATATATTCTGTAAAATATATAATATTACAGTGTACCTGCAAAGTCATCAGTTTATGTAACATGTATTATTTTGCCTCATATCTTAATTTATCATAAACCATATGAAAAATGAGGATATGGAACGTTTATTTGTAATTTTAGTCTTGTTAGTTTTACTATAATATACTTCACTATAGTAAACTTCATACTGCTGTATTCTTTTTCAAACTTGACCAATACATTTTGACTATTTGTATCTTGCCAATAGTTTAAAACACAATATGAGATTCAGTGTAGAGATGAGTTGAAGCTGCCAATCTGCTATTCTTTTTTGTGTCTGTCTCCAGACTAAGTGGTGGTGGATTTATTGATGTTAACATGTAAGGTGGATTTAAATAGTTGATTAGCAAGCAGTGCCCACAACTGCTTTGCAAAAACCAAGTGTGCCTAGTTATCATTGGTATTATTGTCATTAGATTGTGATATTCATTGTGCTTAACTACTTTTTTTTGTTGTTGATTTTTTTGATTTCTCTCTTTTTCTTGCAGTTGGTCTGTGACACCCATGATGTACCCAATGTCCTTTATATTCAGTGTCCCCAGCACAGCCTACGTCTCTTTGTCATGTATCAACCTCTTCATTGGCATCAACAGCAGTGCCATCACTTTCATCCTGGACCTTTTTGAGAGCTCCACAGTAAGGCCACCGGGCTTGTTTCTGTCAATTCCATCTTTCATGCATCTTCCATATCACCCTAATTTGTGTGTGTTTGATTTCTGTCTAGGCTCTGTACAAACTCAACCAGCTGTTAAAGGCCATACTGCTCATCTTCCCCCATTACTGCCTTGGCCGAGGTCTCATAGACATGGCCATGAACCAGGCTGTGACTGATATTTACGCTCGCTTTGGTAACACAAAACACACATGCTCATAGTCCTCACAGTTCAGTAAACAAATTCTTGTAGCAACAAAAGCCTCCACCATCTCAACACTGAATAAATGTTGGGTCATTGGCTGCATCAGAAATCTGATGTTTATGTATGCCCCAACCAGCTGCAGTGCACTCTAGACCTCTCCTTGAGCACCCAAAACTCTGCAACAGATTCTGTAGTAGAGAATAAATCAGAGATCTTGAAAGGGCAAAATCTGAAATATTACAATACAATTACAAACACTGTTTCTACTGTAAAATGAACTTCCTTATATTGAGGAAAAACGCAATTTTTGAAAAGTGGGAAAGCGTGATTTACAGGTGTATAATGTTTATGTATTTCCTCAGGTGAGGACTACAGTCCAGACCCCTACCGCTGGGATTTTATTGGGAAAAACCTATTCTTCATGGCTTTTGAGGGATATGTCTATTTCATCCTTAACATTCTCTTCCAGTATCGCTTCTTCTTGGATCACTGGTAAGTATAGTAGAGCTTGAATTAGGAAACCAAATTTGCCGGATGTACTTTAGTAATTGCTCCTTGAAAATTACATTGTACATAATAAAATGAAGGGATGCTGTCACACTGCTGTCTAAAACTTAGAGTAGAAGTTGATCTGCTGAATAGTTTTTTTCCATTGGCAGGATATCAGATTGCCCAAAGCCTCATATTTTGGATGAAGATGTAGATGTGGCAGAGGAAAGAGAGCGGATCTATAGGAGTGAGAAAACAAATGACATTTTACGCATACGAGACTTGTCTAAGGTGAGAGATTTTTATTTATTTATATATGATCAATCATCGGCAATGGATAAAATATTTTAAACTCAAAATATACTTTCATCTTCATCCTTATTTTGTTCTCATCTTGCTTTGCCAGACGTACACGGGAACAATCCTCCCTGCAGTGGACCGAATGTGTGTTGGAGTCTCACCTGGAGAGGTCTGTGTGGTTAAACCAATACAATTTACTCTGCATAGGAAACATTCTGGCCACTTTATTGTTAATCTATCATGTTTTATCTCCCAATCCTCTGTAGTGCTTTGGTCTGTTGGGGGTCAATGGAGCAGGGAAGACCACAACGTTTAAGATGTTGACTGGAGACACTGAAGTCACCTCAGGACAGGCCTCAGTTGCTGGTCACAGGTTAGTATCATTGTTTTTACAAATAGAAGGTAACCCATATAGAATTTTATAGATATTTTGAGGCTTGTAATTAGAAATTGTATTGTTAACCCACGTTTCCCCCCCTAACTCTTCAGTGTTTTGACCAACATCCTGGATGTCCACCAGAACATGGGATACTGCCCACAGTTTGATGCCATAGATGAGCTGCTGACAGGTAGAGAACATCTACACCTCTATGCCCGCCTCCGTGGAGTTCCAGAGGCTGAGATCAGCAGGGTGAGAAGCAGCTTTCACCAGAACACAAATTATTTTAAAAATTTGCAAGAAGCACTGTAAAATTTAATTAAAATTAACAACAACAAGCTTAACTTTTCATCCTCCTTCTCCATCTTGTAGAAGTTATAATAGAAAAAAAATATTTAAAAAAATGGTGGTATTTTTTTTTTAATTGCAACCAAAATAAAGTAGGACATCTTTTCACTGGAAGCACTGAGGAAAAATCAGCCAGTCTGATAAAGAGAGGATTGCAGTGAGGAATTAAAGCAGCAGTATCACTTCAGTAATGGCCAAATACAACCACAGTTGACATCACTACATACAAATGTTTGAAAAGCTGCCTTCCTTTACCAAATACACACTTGTTTGAACAGAGAAGTCATAATGCAATCCTGTTCACTTAGAGACCCTGCGTATTTGAAAGTGTACATAGTGTCATTTAAATTTATAAACCTGCAGATTTTTTTTCCTGTATCGAGTTAAAGGATTACTTTACTGAGGTTCAACTGAATTGTAACATGAGGCCCTTATCCTCCCTGTGCTCAGGTTGCAGAGTGGGCAATCCACAAGCTGGGTCTGTCCGAGGACGCAGGTCGAAGTGCTGGGACCTACAGCGGAGGTAACAGGAGGAAACTCTCCACAGCCATTGCCATGATAGGCTGCCCTGCATTGGTGCTGCTGGTAAGGCCAACACTAATGAAGCATGGTTAGGTGTTTCTGTGTGTATGTTGATGTGTTATTACTATTGCTGTACATTAGGATGAGCCCACTACAGGTATGGATCCTCTCTCCAGACGCTTCCTGTGGAACTCCATCATGAGTGTTATTCAGGACAGACGAGCTGTGGTCCTCACTTCACACAGGTAAACTATCTGGTGTGGGTGTTTAACTGTGTGTGCATGCATATTTATGAGCACAGATTTGAATTTTTTTTTTCTTTTTTACCATCTGTCTTTACAGTATGGAGGAATGTGAGGCATTGTGTACCCGCTTAGCAATTATGGTTAATGGATCCTTTAAGTGTTTGGGAACTATTCAGCATCTCAAATACAAGTTAGTAATTTTACTTTATCCCATATCACATATCAAATTTATCCAAAAAAACATACAACAATGAACACAAAATCCTTTGATCTTTGATTTTGCTTTACCTGACATCAATGTGAACCTAGGTACGGCGATGGTTACGTGGTGACCATGAAGATCAGGGCAGCTAAGCCTGGTTGTGCGCCAGACTTGAACCCAGCCGAAGCATTCATGGAGAGCACCTTCCCTGGCTGCATCCAGAGAGAGAAACACTACAACACTCTACAGTACAAGATCTCCTCCTCCTCCCTGGCTAGGATCTTTCAAATGGTCCTGGCTAACAAAGACAAGCTCAACATAGAGGACTACTCAGTGTCGCAGACCACTCTTGATCAGGTAAACAAGCATAGGAAAACACAAGATATATTATTGGCTGCATATTTCCTATCTTTGCCTTTTGATTTGCCATTATATTTCATATGTTGACCTGATGTGTGATCCACCTATGTCTTCTGCCTTGACTATCACATTTTTCAAGATTAAGGCAGCTGTTTTGGTTCAGAGGAAATCAGGTTGAACCCAATGTTTTTATGTCCTTGTAGGTTTTTGTGAATTTCGCCAAGCAACAGTCAAGGGAGGATGATGCCATTGTGCTGCACCCAAAAGCTGCTGGGGCACAGCGATATATTGATACCACACCCTTCACGTCTTTGGGGAAGAAGTGAACTTACCTCAATGAGCTCAGCTGGAATAGTTATTTGGCTTCCATTTCAGGGGTCGCCATATTTAAAAGAATGCGGCCTGTGGATGTCTGTGTGCTCCGGAGGCCTAAAAGCTTGAACCTCCTCTTCACATGAGACAGTCTACAGAAGATAGTGTCATCATGACGTCCCGTCCCTAGCCTCGTAGAGACAAGTGACTAGTGCATGATCAGTTTTGGGGTACTAAAAACACAGTGGATGAACAGGTTATGTCCTCCAAAACTGAGCAAAGTTGTTGAGTGCTTGTTGATCCATTGTGTGGTGAAATGCAGTCTATGAAGGAGGCAGCCGCTTTAATGGGACTTGACATTTGTCCTGTTTGACTGATGATTTGATATGTGGCAATACTGCAGATGCTCTACTTCGCTTTTTCTTAAACAGGGTTAGTGGGCTTTGAATTCTGAAAGTGTGGAGCATTTATGTGCCTGCTGTATGTTCCACGTTCTGCTCACCTTGTAGGCCTTGAAACAGAGCTTTAGATTTAAGGACCATGACTTTGATTGATGATATGTCAGAGAAGTTCAATATCAGGTTGCTATGTGAGCTTGATGAGAATTGAGAAGAAAGCATAGGCCCTGTGTATTTTTTGCTTCAGATGCCAAGCAAGTCTTTTTTTTGCCTTCTTTAGATTTATGAAATGAACACTCAGAGAAGCCTAGTCTTAGCACTTTATTGATGCAGCTTTAATTGAAGCATCACAATTTTTACCAAGATGTTTGGCAATCTGCTAAACAAATCTGCTAGTGCAATACAGCTGATTATTTTTTACAAAATCTTGCTGCTATGAAATTAATTTCGATACAGTGTAATATTTTTATGCCACCAATGTCTCTTCAATCTTTGCCCTTCATCATAAACAGTATATGTAAACTGTCTACATTCCACCAGCACCTGGTGTCATTAGAGAAAGCTTAAACAGTGTCACAAAAGTTTCTGAGAGGAACATTATGTCAAATAAATTAACTTTTTCCTTAAGATGTGAACCTTTTTTTTTTTTTTTTACAGATGTCCTGTTCACATTCACATTTATAGGAAACAGTTTATAACAGTTTAATAAACCTGAGATTAGACATCAAGGGCTAGAGAACCACAGTAGTTATTACTGACTACCTGATGAGCCCTCTACACATTAATGCCAGAAGTTACACTTCTACAGTACAGTTTCCATTTCTCGGAAGAAAACAATCTGAGATATACAGTAGAGAAGCTTAGTAGCGTAATTAAATGTCTGCTTTCTCAGCATTCCTGCTGAGAGCTTAAAAGTGATGTTGCACTCTTAAATGGATGACATGACATATTAATTTGTCTGTTAGTTTGCTTCTGCAGGCACTTTAATGAGCTACAATATATTTTATTTCTTTTACTTAACCTGAAAACGTTATTAATGCTGTAATGTGGCTAATAAGCCATCACACAGTGAGTACTACTCACTGGTTTGAATAAGGTTTGCTAAAATGCTAAAGTGCCATTTTTCAACCTTAAATCAAGACCTAAAGGAGCCAAATATGAAAAAATTATAAAAAAATGTAACACAGCACAAAGAATATGACAGCAATTAAGATTTATGCAATCTTGTTGCTAACTTCATATCACAACACCAAATTAAACTCCTCAGAAGAAACTAAAACCCATAGTTGAAACAGAAAAATGTAAAAGGCTCCAGTGTATTGCCATAACATTATTGCTCCTATTATCACTTCTTTCAGTTTATTTATTGATATGAAAATATTGCTGGATGCAGCAGCAGCAAACGTCGTTGTTTAGTGAAAGACACCCCTTGCTACAATACTTTTAGAGAATCAGGGGAATAATGGCCATCCGAAAGCTGGGATAGTCCTTGAACTCCCTGCTGTAGGCTCTGTGCTTCCCTTTGGCCCAAATGGTCATCTGAATGAACCCCAATAATGTGTACAATGCCACTAGAATATAAAACACACACATTAGAACAAACAGATTTTATACAGTATTGCTATTGGTGCAGAAAATAATGTGTTGTACCTGGCAGACACTGGGTCATGATGGAAAAGCTCACCCAAGCTCCAACCTACAGTACATGTAAAATGTACAGGCAGACAGAGAGGTAAATACACAAGCATGGGTGTTCATAATCATAAGTAATTAGGATAAAAGCTTGCTATTACCTCGTATGTATAATTTGGACAGGATACAAAGAAAAATAACCATGTGAAGGGATTCTTGGTTGGCATAGGGAACTTCCTGCCCCTGGATCCTGAGAAACAGTTGGGTGGAAAAAAAAATGTAAATAACATTTTCATTTTATTTTATGTAGCAGTTTTCTCAATGATAGAAATATATTAGACATCCAGATCCTCAATATTTCCATGGTGGATACCAAATCAAAATAGCATTTGCATGGAGTAATACAAATGATGGGAGAAATCAATGGTTTTAGGCAGTTTTAGATGGCTTTAGTATATGTTTTTAACACATCTAAATTGATGGAATGGACAGTGTCTTTATAACTTAAAGTAGGAAGTAGAATGAAGCTCAACCACTCACCATCTCCTCTGAGATTATTAAGAGTCAAGTGAATGGAGAAGTTGCCCAGTTCACACATCTGGAGCAAAAAATAAAAATGTCTCACTGTACTGTCACACATACATGCACACTGAATTTCTGTTGGTCCTGAGTGAAAAACCAGTATACGTACCACAAATATAACTAATGCATAGTTAACTTGTAGCTCTCCATATGCTGTGAATAGAGATAGACTTGTGTTGATAAGCTGCAGAAAATAGAGAAAAACAACATTGTATGTGTGTGTGGGCTGACTTACATGGAGGTGTATAAAGAGGGTGGTTGATATAGTAGGCCAACCAAGCTGAGAAACCCCAATAATAGGCACAATTCTGAGAGAGGAAACAAACAATACAGGTGTATGAATACATAAAAAAAGGTTTTCTTATTGCATGATGTACAATAAACCGGACTATTAAAATGAAAATGTATTTCTTACTTTAATTCAATTTCGATTTTTGAACCACTATAAGTCACAAAATAGAAGACCTAACTACCTCTTATCATCAAGACAGGGTGCTCTGAGACTGCCGTAAGCAGCCTTCTGTATCAGAAGGAGTCCTTAGGCTAAAATCAGTACCACAACAGCTGGTATGAGACTGCGGAAAAGAGGCCACATATTGTAAACGAGGTGAGCATCTCAAAAGGCTCCTCTTTTCAAGGGTAGTCATGTCCTCACCCTGACTATTGTCCTGAGAGGCATGGTCCCATGGGAGAAACGATGCACAAAGATAGTCTCTATCAACCTCTTCATATAGTGGAAGGTATGACAGGCACAGGCTAGTCTGAGAGACAGAGAAGAGGGATACAAATATGTACATTCAACATGCCATAGTATGCAACTTCATCACTATTTTTGCAGCAGATTCAAACTGAGGTGAGAAAAGATTAAATTTAAATGATGCCTTTGTGCCGAATTGGGTCACTACAGCAACAAAACTGTTGAGATTCAGAAAATGAAATATACTGTAAATAATAGAACAAACCAGAATAATATAAACAAATGCAACAAGATGCAACACAATATCAAGACGAATTATTTAAATCTCTTGTTAGTTATGATAGTGCGTAAAAGATTGAAAAACAAAAACAGATGACATTAGTTCAACCTCTATTTATAGGATTTAAACATTTCCTTGAATGAAATGACAACCCCCGAGGGAGAACGTGGATCAATAAGCAAATCAACATGAATTAAAGAGACTGTCCAAATCCTCCTGTCATAGCAGCATAAAATATCGATTTTCCCCCCAACAACAGCTGTTTTATCTCATGTCAGTGTAGATGGTACACTGACATGAGATAATGAAGTTAGTTTTCAGATTCTGATTTAATTTTACAGACAATAACCTTTACTCCATTACAGATGTAATTAGTGAGGCATAGAATGTCAGTAAAGAAGTAAATGACAGACTTTAATAATAGTATAATAATAAAAGCATTTTTATTAAAGCATAGTTTGGGAAATACGCTTATTCCCTTTTATGGCTGAGAATTAGATGACAACATTGATACAACTGAATTTAGTTTGGTATCAGTCTTCTCATCAAGTATTTTTCTTCTTTTTCCAGCTCATATCTGTGTCTGCAGTTTAAAACCCATTGTCCACAATAACCTGTGCTATAATGAAAGTTCCCACTTACGTGACAACAGGAAGAGGACTGGAGGTAAAGGCATAGCTGTGTGAGTAAATGTACGGTACTCGACAATAGAAGAGGAGGTAGATGAGAAGGGGCCCGACGCACTCTGCCAGAAACACCTGGAAACAAAAGAACAGATAACACTTTATATTACCTCTCTACTGTGGGACCTGGGAAGTGTCCTGGAGAAAAAACTTGTGCTCTCGAGATTGTCATTCATCACTTGTCTATTTTATATTATTAATTAATATTAATATAATATCACAAAGGTGATATGCAAACAAACAGAGCAAATGTGTAGTGTAAGTAAAAGAAGGTAGGCAATAAACAACAACAAAAATCCTTTGTTTTTTATTGCAAACAAGGATTCAGCCAGATATTCCCCAAATAAAGTGCCTCGATATTATGTCAGCTGACAATTGCAGTACCAGACACAGATTTCTTTTTTTAGTATTTCAGTGTTGGCACGTCAGTAATCAGTGTGCTCTTCTTACCATTGTCCAACCTAACTGTGGTCCAAGGTCTCTGAAGTACATGGTGGCAGTAGTCCCAACTGGTAGATTCTGCAAGATTTCCTCGTCTCTGAGTGATTTTTCCTCTGAAAGAAAAGAAGAAAAAACATTTATGAAGAAATTCAGCTTCATCTGAAATTCTACCATAAACAATTCTACTATCCAGTGGAAAATATCCTCCCTAGATTATCAAGCATCCTAGAGTTGAGAAATATCCATATTGACAGAATTTGCAATAACTGATATTCATTATGAGTATGGAAAGTTAAGCAGTCCTGTGCAAAGCATTGTGGCTTAAACTAAACTCAGAGAGTTTTTAATGAATGTCTAATCAGTTTTTCAGCACACGTTCTCTCCACCTGAAAGCTCATGGGGACACAGCCACAGATAATATGTTGAACTAATTGGATGACATTTTTAGAATATCCTCAGGGGTAAGTGGCCCACATAGCTTTTAACCAAAGTCTCTACTCTGTGCTTTTCAGTAATAAGATAGCCCTTATAATCCATTCAACATCCTGCAACATCATACCTCATGGTAGGTCTTATGTACTTCATGTGCTGTAATCACCTTTTCTATTCATGCTGAAATTAATGTTGTGTTTTAAATACACATTAAGCCGTCCACCTTTTATGCTGAACAGACAGAAGTTTCCACAGTGATGGTAGCTCTGTAAAGATGTGGAGCGCGTTATGGCTTTCATTCACCTCCAGACTTAAAGCCATTGCAAATGTTATTGAACATTCTGGGTCACACTGTGTAATGGTGGTGACTTCATTTCAAAATCTCCCATTAAATCCACCCATTGAACACACCTGTGTTTTGCAATAAGTCATCAATATTAGGCATGTGGAATATACTTATTTCAGCTCTGCTGGACATTGTGGACGTGTGGATGTGTACTAAGCTGAAAATATCTCAATGTAAGTCACACCACAAATTGCATCAGTGTCAGATGCCAAAACAGCAGTGCCTGGAGGGACATATACATTGCGCAATAAATGGCGTTTAATCACTGTACACCTTTTACAGAGTGGCTATATGTCTATAACGATCAGCCATAACATTATGAGCACTGACTGGTGAAGTGAATAACACTGATTATCTGGTTATCATGGCACCTGTGAGTGGGTGGGAAATTCTTCTTTTCACTCTTTTTTATTCTTACACACAAACAGCCTGAAATAGGCAACAGGGAGAGAGATGGTGGAGTGAGATGGTGGAGTGATGGGCTTGCCACGTTAGCGGCAAGCAGTTTCTTGGGGTTAGGTTGCCTTGGCTCAAGGGCACCGTCGGCAGTGCACAGGAGGTGAAACTGGCAACTCTCAAGCTACCATTCCAGCAACGCAACATATTGTGGTCTATGGGATTTGAACCGGTGACCCTCGGGTTCCCAAGCCAAGTCCCTACACACATATTAGGTAGCAAGTGAACATTTTATCCTCAATGTTGATGTGTTAGAAGCAGGAAAAATGGGCATCCTGAGGATTCGGGCAACGTTGGCAAGGGCCAATTGTCCATAACTGCAGCTCTTGTGGGGTGTTCCCGTTCTGCAGTGGTCAGCATCTATCAAAGGTGGTCCAAGGAAGGAAAAGCGGTGAACTGCAGACAGGGTCATGGGCAGCCAAGGCTTACTGATGCACGTGGGGAGCGAAGCCTGGCCCGCGTTGTCCGATCCAACAGACGAGCTACTGTGGCTAATGCTGGTTGTGATAGAAAGGTGTCAGAACACACAGTGCATCATACATACTTAGCCTAAATGACATTATGGGACTTTAACAGAGAAACGCAAAATATTTTCCCACAATAGGAAGCTTCTGGTGAGATAAGTAAAAAGCTAGAGACGAGACATAAACCTCTCAATAGCAACAAGTGAGCACTCACAGCAGAACACTTCCAAACAGTGGGTAATGAAGTCCAAATTTGCAACCATATAAAACTGTAACTAGTAACCACCCTTGGCAATTTAGACTAGATCAGCATTGCCTACTGCAGCTTTAATGTTGTAATGATACGCTACACATAGAGTGAAAAATCATAGCATGGCTACTTACTAGGAGCAAGCTTCAGCGCCTGTCTTGCTGGATACCAGTAAGGATCTGAGCAGTCAAAACACACACACAAATCCAGGGTTGGAATGAGCTGGCATTGCACACACAGATCTTGGCCTCAGGCCCAATAATAATTGATCACAATGGAATAATGTTGAGCTCTGCTGCTTGATGGATCCTGATGGCCTCGGGCTTGGCAAACATTTGGTAACATTTCTGACCGGACACACGCTGATGACAGAGACACTGCAGGCTTCAGAGAAGTAAACAAGGAATTGTTTTTAACAGAATATCCTTTTGGGAAGTTGTGTGATCTAATATACTGAAAGATGATTCACTTAATAGCATAGCAAGCTTATTCGTCATCATATTTAGTGAAGACCCTTTTTTTTAAGTTTTAGTTCACAGTAAAGGCAATAAAAGTTGCAAAAACTAATCAAAAATGTAACTTGATTTCAAATTGATATTTTAGACTGCACAATATTTTAAACAAACAAACAAACACATTATAGCACCAGTAAAAGAGATGACCAGTCTGGCAAACCAACACTCACATGATTTGTGAAAAAGGCTTTTGATGTCTCCTATTGTTGAGTAAGGCTCCACCTGAATTGAATACAAACATAACATATGCAACCTTGATGTATTATCAGTGAGGAGGTTGATAGTGGTTCTTGTGTTAAACCCCCAGAAGCTCACATTAAAACTCATGCAACGCAGACAAAATATGTTCAAACCCACGAGCTTTACTTGAGAAGGATTGTATCTAAAATATGCAGAATATTGCCTATTTGGTGGCATGGTGCAGCCAAAAAAACATGGATGAAGAGACTGGAATAGCTATATGGTCAGACAGTGAAATATTGATTATTTAATTATTATTAAATTATTAATCCAACCTTCACCACCTTTCCAAGGAGGAAACAAAAGCGTAATAATGTTGTCATGGCAATATTTGAGCATACCTTATCTAAAAAACAAAGCTGCTCTTTGGTCTTGGCATCCAGGACCTTCACCTAAAACACAAGATGTACAACTTTTATAAAGCACAAGACCCACAACAGGTTTCACCATTTTTCACATTTTTCAATAAAGCCTCTATATGTTAGCCTCAATAAAACATTCATAATATTGACACTAATACAAGATTTATTATGAATTTTCCTGCTTAAGAACACGCATGGTTTGAACACACCTATACTTGTGTTAATATCTTTAGACCAGTGGTCTCAACACGGGGTCTGGGGACCCCCAGGGGTCCTTGAGGGGTTTTCCAGGGGTTGCCCAGAAAAATGGGAACTATAGGGAATATTTAATTTCACTATTTTTTCATTGGCTAAAAGATGTATTAGAATGTATCAGAATGACTATTCTGTTTTGCTATCACACTCTTCATTGCTAATCTGCCAATCTACAGATAGCTATAGAATAACTATTATCCAGTGGAGATCTCTGAGACTATCAATTATGCCCCCGATGTGTATGACTTTGGGGGTCCTTGACACCAAAAAGCCACTGCTTTAGACCATCCCTGCCTGATAAATACTATAATACTATAAAGATTATAGTAATTGTAGTCTCAGAAAGTCAATATCAAATCACAGCCTGTGAATAAAATATAGACAACTGGAAAGGAAATCGATGCCTGCATGAAACAAAAAACATGCAAAGCAATATGATTTATCAGTATTATTGAATCATCCATAGAAATAGAAATAACAATGATTATGTGACTCTTTGCCTCACAGCCAAGTTTGTTCAGTTACAGTAATCTCTATCTGAATAATGAGGCTGGTGGAGTTTGGTAGGAGAAAAAGAATCGTGTTGTCCTGCTGCTCTCCTGCACACATCTTTTTCATCTTAATTAGACCATGTCAGTGGTGATGTACAGCATATGCAAGGAGGATGGTGGGTGGCGGGCCACAATTTGCCCTGAAAGCACTCCATACTGTGCTGCTCAGCAGAGCTGTCCTAGCTAAATGGGTTCCCTTACTGGACAGTGTAATAACCCGCTAATGGATACCTAAAGATTTGCTGAGTGCACAGTCAAGAAAGAGAGAAAGAGATTGAGAGAGAGAGAGAGAGAGAGAGAGAGAGATATCTATGCTTTACCACTTTAACCCCTTTTTTTAAGCAAATGAAACTCTCCAGAAGGTCTTCCAAAACCTCCCATTACAGGTAGATATTTACAAAAAAAATATCCCGAAATACACTTCACCATTGTAGGTAAAACATGAGTACTTTATTTTGTCATTCTTGCTGTGTGTGTTCATGCTTTGCAGGATCTGTGCACAGGGCATGCTGACTGATCTTGCTAAAGGGCATCCTGGGAGATGGGTTTGTTTTGCTTTCCATCTGCTAACCTTCCCAACTGCATTCTAGGGGCACATGTTGATGCATTTGCGTGTTCACGAAGAGCATCAAGGGTGCCATTAGGGCTGCGTGTCCTAAAGCAGTGTGCACTCGATTGTGCTGTGCCCTTGTAAATCTGATTATCAGACGCCCCTGTCCTCTCATGGGAATACAGGGCACTGCTGACAGCACAGGTCATACAGAACATGTGCGTACGTGCTTGTCAGGGTTTCTGAAGGCTTTGTGTATATGAGGGGAATTAGAGTGGTTTTTGAAATGAACATTTCTTTGTGTTTTTTTGAAATCCTTAAGTTTCCATCAAAGGTGATTCAGGTTGTTCTATTCACCGTACCTTGCTTTTATTAATTCAAGTGATTGATACCAACTCAAGAAGTCTCTTAGCTGTAATAGCTCCTCTTAATGTGAAAGCTGGTGAATGTAATGGCTGATCTTGAAACACAGGATCATTACTTCAAAACATGAGTATGATACTATTGAAGCTGATCAGCTGCATGTGGCTGCCCAGCGTACTATTGTCCTTGTTGCTTTCACACTTACTCTAACTGAACAGAATTTCAATCAAGGGAAGAAATCACCTAAGCACTCATCTAACTCTTTGCATGCTGAAAAATATCTGGCTGACTGCTTCTCCAAATCTCATCTCAAGTGCAAACATTGGTGTTGAGCCTTCAAAAGTTCTTGCTTGATTTTAAAAAGTTTAACTTGCAAGCTACAGCCTGGGGTGGATAAACAGCTAGTCTGGCTCTGTCCATAGGTAAAGTCTGCCTAGCAGCATCAAAACAGGAAGTGACTGTGCCCGGCCAAAAAATAGTCCAGCACACAACACTGCCATTTTTACACTTTGGTTGTTGCACCGGTAAAACAAAAAAGAGTTTTAGAGGTGCTGGTAGGAGGATATTATTATCTTTGAACCAGGCTAGCTGTTTTTCCCACTTTTCCAGTTTTTATGCTAAGCTAAGCTAACCAGGGGTTGGCTATAGCTTCATATTTAGCGTAAAGATATGACAGCAGTTTCAACTTTCTCATCTAAACTGAGAGCACGCTTGAGAAATGTATATCTTTCTCATAAACCATCTAAATATTTGGCTTGCAGCCTTTATGAAGCAGTTACTGAGACTATGGCACACATCCCAGAGCATGTTGTAAATTAGCTTGAGTTCATAGGCCTTCTGCACTTACAGCTAATTACTTTTTATTAATACTCATCAGGCCTTAAGAGACAAGACTGGAGGCTTGAGGAAAATCATGAAAAGGATTCCAGCTTAGTTTTGTTTACTTAAATTTGGTCTTTATAAACTCTGCTGACACTTTAAACCTCTTGAGTATTCTCGGAATTCATCAGTTTTGTTTTTCTAACAAATTATAAGGCTACTGAGCAGAATCATCGCTCATCATTGCATCATCAGACTGAAGTTCGTTTTTAAAATAATGATTTTAGCTCTTTTCCACCATGTATTGTCCTCAATGTCTGATGGGATGAGTGTCATCCATCATCCAGTTTACAGTAAATTATGCTCCAAGCAGGTTGCCTTACCTGACAGCACAGTATTTGCAAAAATTATTGTTGTTTCCAACTATCAGAATCATTAAAACAAGATTCAGAATAGGAAAATATTAATGAAAACATATGTGTGTGAGCTGAGGCCTCACTGCAGCGGCCTGGGTTCGATTCCAGCTTGCAGCCCTTTGCCTACATTTCATACCCCTCTCTGTCCCACTTTCTGTTCACTCTTAAATTGGTCACTATTGAGCCTAAAACTTGTTAAACCACATTATCTAATGTTGCAATTAAAAGTTTCAGTTAATCCAAATACATTCTGTGGCACTTAGCTTAATACTTTACATTCAGACTTACCTCAAAGAAGGTGGTCCGACTCATGGCGGTGGATTATTATTATGTCCTCTTTGTGCAGGGTGAAAAAATGACCTTAAACATCAGTATAAGCAAACACAACACACGCACACTCATTCCTCACACACAAGTTCCTCTCCTTTCGAGGACAAACCCTGGACTGACCCCTTATTCTTCCCAGCCTCCCTTTCCCTTTCTCTCTCTCTCTCTTCTCCCTCTCTCTCTCTCTCCTCTTCTCTTCTCTCTCTCTCTCTCTTTCTCCCTCTCTCTCTCTCTCTCTCTCTCATATACACACAGACACTCTCTCTCTCTTCTCTGAGATATAGTGCTGGGACACAGAATCACTAGAGGCACATTTCAGAAACACTGCACATGCTCTCCCTCCTGCAGCTTCCTCCTGTTTCCCCCTCTATCTCTTCTTTTCTGTTTCTGCCAAAGTATCTTTGGAAAAAAGACTCTGCATCCAACTTTGCTCAAGTACACAGATACCCACCTGAGAATGAGACAGCTGAACAGTAGAATGTTGAAGAATGATACTAAAAACGATAATAAAATATGTAGGATGACACAAAACTGAACCCACTAGGTCTGGACTGAGCACCAAAATATCCCACACAAGTAGAGGTTGAACTCCTGGGGGTCAAACTGTACTCCACAAAGTGAAATATATAATTTGTTTAAGCATGCATAAAGTCAAAGTTGCAGTAGGTTGTTTAGGAAAATTGTTGAAATTGTGAAAACTGTAAACAACAAGCACATCAATTTTAATTGGATTTTTAGACTCATGTAGTCTGCTGTGTTCATGAAAATGTGCTCTTAACATTAAGCTATGAGAACTTGAATATCTACTACAAATTTGATTGAAATTTACCTTTTAGCTGTTCCCCAGCTAAAAGCTCATAAGAGCTAATCTGGTAGAGCTGTTTTTTCTCTCAAGATCAGCATAATGGAGAAGGAGAAGGAGAAGCTAAGTGTCTGGAAAAGAGTTTGAATTTACACCTGAGAGTTAATTTAAGCTTTTAATTTCAAAGTGATGCAATACTGACAAAATATATGAAATTACCTTTTGTTTTTTTGGGATAATGGGTTGATTATCTCTTTATCTTGAGATAGCAAAGCTTGTTTTCTTGACAGCAATAAATAAAATGATTTCCTTTCCTTCCTCCCATATTGTTATGGACCATGGGTCATGAACGTATAACAGTGTTCTTCAATGCTCAGTTCTTCCTTAAATATACTTATAAATAGAAATCTGATCCTTCTAGCACATACACATAGTGTATTCTGAGAGTTTCTAGTATATGTTGTCTTAAAAACTGCCTTTGTAGAACATAAGAGCATTGGGAGCTGTGGGAGGATCACATCGCATACTTCTTATTCCAATGTGCATCTGTGTTCTTCTTATTTCCACTGCGTACTCATATGTAGAGCATTGCTATTATTTTTCTTCGAAAGCCAGTATTTATTGATGGATTGTGTGGGTCTTGTCTTTGAGTTCTTACTGAGTGTTATAGCTGTGAGTGGTTTGTATTCAGTAGCTAATTACACTTGCTCCTTGATGCAATATGCCTCACTGTTTTTCACTATAGCCTTCAATTGCATTTTGGATGGTTACATAAGAGATGCTATTCAATATGAGCACAAAACATAGAATAGGCTATCTTCACTTGCCTCTATATGCAGTGTGTTTAACTAAAGAAAGCTTTATTAGCCTAATGTACATGTGTAACTCACTTTAAGGCCACCCAAAACAGTATTTGTGCGGCGTGGGAAAGTGGGGTTTGTCATATGTATCAAGATAATTGTTACAGCGAAACAACATTTGACTGTCTGTTTCAATCGTAGTTTGTGCATACACAGCTAGAACCTGTTTTGACAAAATATTTGTGGTCATAAGGTTTTATAATAATTACATCTAAGATGAGTTATTTACGAATTACTGAAGTTATCCCTGTCATACACTGGTAAGAAATGTCTCCACGTATCCTCCAAAAATGGATCCAAAGAATGAAACTCAAGTTGAGCATGTATTCACTCAAATATTGTGCTGTCTGTGGAGATTCAATTTATGGCACAGAGCTGGACCAGACCCCAAAAGCCTCAGGGAAATCAGACAAAATATATGGTGACAGAGAGACAGGCAGCAAGGAGACATGTGCTGGTGAATGTAAAAACTTCAACATTTTTAAAGATTGTGTGACATATTTATGTGGGCGAAATGAATGCAATATATATAGAGATATTTTAATCTATTTATGCAGCCCCCCTAAAAATATCTCACTGACAGTCAGCAGCCAATACATTTTCAGCAACAGGTGCCAGCAAAAGAAATCAGATTTTAAACTTTCTTCATGAAAGATAAGATGAATAAATATTATAACTGAGGAGAGCTTGGTATTTAGAGATTTAGCCTTTTAAATGAGAAAGTGTCAGAATAGCATGATAGCAGTTAATTGGCACAGCTAGAGGAAGTCAAAAAACACATTTTCTTCTACTTAACTGTAGCTTTGTGGTGTTTTAATAAATGCCTTTAAAATTTTACATTTTACAAAGCTAAGCTAGCTATCTGGATCCTATAATATGCTCATTAAAATGATAATGGATCTGTAATGAAATATTTTATTTTAGACACACTAGAGGCCCCCCAAAGGTTCAAACTGAAAACGCTCAACCTCGCATGTAGGAACCAGGTGGCCATCCTCCAAAAAAAGCCTTATCTGGGCTACTGTATAAATATTGATAGAAGAGGACCCAATCCCTCTATGGATAAAAACTACACATTCTTCAGGTAACGAAGACACAGTGATTCTTATTTTCAAGTGATTGGTCTAATTTGTTATAACTCAAGGACTATGGATGAAAATTTGCTTATTAGCTAACTCCAGCACATTTACATGTGCAAAACGCAGTGTTGATTAATGTGCATTGCCCCCGGTAAACATACCTATAAATATATAGATGAATATATAGATACATCCTCCTATATCTTACACACTGGACCAAAGTTGACCAACATTCCTTCTATTTCAAGGTATTTGGAATGTTGGAGATGTACCACAAAATCCTTCAGTTTTGACTGCTCCATGATACAAACACATATTGTATACACACCCACCTTCAAATGGCCCCACAGGCTTCCTCCATATGGGATGACACTGTCCTCTGCTGGTCAGTATGGCCAGTACCTTTGATTATTATCTACTACTGTATACTTTCAATTACAGCTGTATTAACACCACACATTCAAGACTCAGCCACTGAACTGATGAGCTACATTGCTTCTTGAGTTAACTTTTGAGGCATCAATAAATATTTATCCTCACAATTAAGGCACTGGGATCATGTCTTTGCCTTTTTATGTCATGTTTTGCTCTGTTTATAATGTCAAACAAATATGCAAATCAATTAGGAGGGACTGTGGGATCTTTAAGATTTTTTTGGTATTCAATATGTTTATACATACACGTATTTTTATAGCTAAGTGGAAGGAATACATTTGCCTACATTTAGAAAATAAGGAGCTCATTTAAGGAAAAAGTTTGTGGAACCCAGCTGTAATGTTTCTTGGTAGTTTAAAGCTCAGGGCAGTTACCTTCTATGATCAAAAGTTTGAGACTACAGCACAGCCAGGGCATGTCTGCTGGTCTGGAGGGTCGTTATTGACTTTTTCATCAGTCTGCATCACCCTCTAACCTTTCAGGATGCCAGTTCATCGTGGTTCGGGGGCTTTTAAAAAAAAACTTGTAGTCGTTGCAGGTCCTCTAAATGAGCAAGTCACAGTCTGGTGTTGTGATGTGGAGTTTAGATGGAAAGGGGCTGGAGGCTATAGCTAAATGCAATCGCCACACTGCATGGTGGGGGGTGGTGTGATGGTGGATGACAGGATGTCTCCTTCCATTTTCCCTGCAGAGATCTGAGGCTGTGGCCCTGTGCAGGAAGACTCGGTGTGTTCACACAGTATGTCTGTGAGCCTCTGACGTTTAATGTTGTGTGTGCTGGAGAAAATTGAAGAAAATGCACTGTGTATGAGATCAGCGTTTGCACTGATGTACATACTTGATACGACAGTGTGGGCACCTTGAAGTGTTTTTCATTTATTCTTCAAGTGTCAATGGAGGCACTTTTATAATTTCCAAGCATGCAAGCAGTGCAACTGCACCTGGGCTTGGGGATATCCATTTAGGGACTGTATGAAAATGTCTGGGGTGGTTAGTGGGACTAAACATCCCCTTGTTTATTAAAATTTAAAAATTTCTGCTCTCCACATATCAAAAAAATAGAAACATTTGTTTAATCATGTTCCCCAATTTAAACCAATCCAATCCAATCCAATCC